TTTTTACAAAACAAAATCCCTCAAAGCTCTATTGTATTTCAGTTTTTTTAGATGAAACACGGAAAGGCTACACGAGCGGAGATGTGCTTGATGACACAGGCAAAAAGTTTGATTTCAATTTTTGTAATTAAATACTTCAGATGATCATCAGCTCATCAATTACTATCGTTTTCACAATAGCTTTCTATTTTCTCGGTGCTGTTCTCAATTTGTTCTTCAGCTACAAAGTTATCGAAGCATTTTGGCATGTTCGTGTCTTTAGTCACACATTGCTCTTCAATTTGTTATTAAGGTGGTTATTATTATTATTATTATTATTATTATTATTATTATTATTGTTATTTGTTATTGAGGTGTTATTGAAGTGTTACCGTATATGACATAGAAGCGTCGCCTAGTCTAAGCTGCGCTCAGACAATCGCTCATATCTCCTGATCCAAATATTCTTTTATTTTACTTTTGGTATCAAAAAATAGTAGAGATTCTGAGCTATCTTTTGATATATAGCACTTAATTCTAGCTAAAAACAGCGTCAAGTAATGACTTCTTAAAGTTAACGACACGCAATGGATCCTTATTAGAGTGTAGATTTGGTATTCGTTATTTACCAAATCTTATATTATTTTTTTTTTTTTAGCTTAAACAGTGCCTTCTTCCTCCGAAAACAAAAAGAGAAACCGGCACGGACGAAATCGATTACAGTAACTGCGATCAATTCAAAAACACATTGAATAAAAGCGTTTTTCCAACAAAATATTCATTTTTGATCATTTTTTGATGAAGATAACTTTTATAAAACGACAAAATAAAACTGATAAACTTCTCAGCTTATAAACTGATAAACTTAAAGTTTGAATCATTTCGAATTTTTTTTGAGTTATGAATCTAATATAAAATTAAAAAGAAAAAAGAAGAAAAAAGGAGAAAGAGGGGGGAAAAAGGAAGGGGGGGAAAAAAAAAGAAGAAGGAAAAAGGGCTTGGACAACCCACTATAAATCAACGAAATCTTCAGCCCAATTACCCACCAATTTTCTCCGATTTTTTCCAATCAACAAAACAAAAAAAGTTTATCGTTTTTGTGATTTGATTATCTCAATAAGCCATTTTTTTTGTTTTAAAATGTTTCAACATGTATGTTCACGATTTGGCTGAAAAAACTGGATAGTGGTGCTGATGAAAAGCTGAATATTACAACTACACTGCTCCACAAAATGATATGGACACTTACTTTTTTATCAATTTTATGCTCTTAAGAAACGATAGTGAAAAAAGTTGTTTTATAGTATTTTCCTTATTAGATTTGCTATTGAAGCACGTTAGATATACTACCATAGTTTGGAACATAAATGTTTAAAAATCGAATTTTGTAAAAAATCACCTTTGGCGCTTTCCACATAATGGTATGGACACTTTGTTTTTCGTCCTTTTTTCTCTTTTTTTCAGATAATTTAGTTCTTTTTGCCGAAAAATCATATCTTTAAAGTACTCTGACAAAATGCCAAGGGGACCGCCGCTGTCTGAAAAGGAAACTGGAATCATAGAGGCAATGAATCTCGAAGGACACTCAAATCGAGCAATAGGACGATTTCTGAACCGAGCACCAACGTTAACTGGATCCTATCTGTCTGATCCTCTACAATACGGAACAAAAAAGTCGACTGCTCGAAAACCTTCCGTTTCTGAGCGAGATAAGAGACACATTTGAGGAGAAGCATCCAACTCTACGCTTTCCTGCTCAGATATCAAGGCGAATCTCAGGCTCAAAGTGTCAAGCGAAACAGTCCGTCGAGTGCTAAAGAAAAGCGATTTTATTGTGCGAAGGAAGATGCAAGATCATTGAAAGAAAAGACTAGAATTCGCCGACAAAAACAGAAGAATTGACTGGAGTAAGGTGGCTGTGATTACTTGACTGATGGAAAGTTATTATTATGTTTAGGTCGTGTGGTTGGATGAGAAGAAATTTAACTGATAGAATTTAACTGATGATGGGGCTGATAGAAACCGCAGTTATTGGCATGACTTAAGAAAGGAAAAGATTAGCTTTTCGCGAAGAAACTTCAAAGGAGGTGGTGTGATGGTATGGGCAGCAATTGCTTCATCTGGCCGAATAAAACTGGCATTTGTCCTAAAGCGTATCAATTCAGCCCAATATCAATTTATCTTGCGGCGATCACTTCTTCTGTTTTGGCGTCGGAATCAAGGCCAAAATCACATTTTCGTCCAGGACAATGCTCCAATACATGCAAGCCAAAGCACTAAAAGATGGTTATAACGGAAGCAAGTTCGACTCCTCGACTGGCCTATCAATTCTCTCGACTTGAATGTGCAAGAAAGTGTATGGAGATTCATGGTACGTCACATTTATGCAGAAAACAAGACTTATAAAGACGTGCCTTCTCTGAAATCTGTAAAAATTGATGCCTAGAGAAAAGTAGACCAAAATCTGATCGGTAAACTTGTGGCCAGCATGGGTAATCGAATTTTTGAATTGATTCGAAACAATGGAGATCCTATTGATTATTAAATGTTGTTGTTCTTTTTTAAAACCATTTTTTTGTTACTAAATAAAAATTTTTGTGTAGTGTCCATACCATTATGTGGAAAGCGCCAAAGGTGATTTTTTACAAAATTCGATTTTTAAACATTCATATTCCAAACTATGGTAGTATATCTAACGTGCTTCAATAGCAAATCTAATAAGGAAAATACTATAAAACAACTTTTTTCACTATCGTTTCTTAAGAGCATAAAATTGATAAAAAAGTAAGTGTCCATATCATTTTGTGGAGCAGTGTATAAAAAGCTTTTTTTTCTTGAAAATCCCTGCTTTAGTATAATCAAGTTGTACTCAATGAAAAATAACGAATTAAAAGATATGAATGTGTCAATCTTCTCAATAGAAACAGGTCATAGATATCTTTAGTTAAGTCCCTCTGGATGAAGGCAGATCGAGTGCGTTGTAGTGCAATGTAGTGCGTTGAGCAACCGTGGAACCATTGCACAGTCCCGAGCAACTGTGGAACCATTGCACAGTCCCGAGCAACTGTGGAACCGTTGCACAGTCCCGAGCAACTGTGGAACCATTGCACAGTCCCGAGCAACTGTGGAACCGTTGCACAGTCCCGAGCAACTGTGGAACCGTTGCACAGTCCCGAGCAACTCTGCAATGGTTAGCACAGTTGCTCGGGAGCGAAAAAGCTCGTGGGTTCGACTCCCAGCGACGCCCGATTTTTTGATCTGTCTAGTTCTAACTCTATCTATTAGGTTTGCGCATATGAAATGAGCGTGACTTATGAAGTTTTATGAATTTCTTTCATTTTTCACATTTGATGTCAGAAACACAGCGTGAAACAACAACAAAGTTCGAGCCGATTTTATGGTGAAATGGCTGAGAGCAAAGCGCTGAGAAATTGAGACTTTCATATGCTCGTAAAATCTGTTGTTAGCCATAAAAGCGTTTTGATTTTTTAAATATAGTATGTAGTATGTCTAGTGCTAGTTACTGTCAAAATTTGGCGTAACTCGGTCGGAAAACAACGAAGGAATTCAACTTTTGGAATCACCCCAAACTTGGGTAACTAAACCGGGTGCTCGGTTCAGAGTGCTAGATGTGCTAGATGATGATTTTTGGTTTTGGAAGTGAATAAACATGTTGTGTAGTCTAAAATTTAAGAATTTCTCTCGTTGAATGTTTTGTGTTTTTTTTTGGAAAGTTTTGGAAGCTCTGATTTTGGAAAATGATTGAGAGATTACATTGTGGATTGTTTAATTTGGTTGCTCTTTTCTTTTTATTCTTTTACGTGATTTTGCTGGTATCAATTATCAAAGAAATGAAAGAAGTTGACCTTAAAATGACGGAGTTGAGACGTGAAAAAGTCGCGGTGATTTCATACGCGTTAAACCAATAATATCGTTTTCTCTAATGAAGATTTACAGCTCAATGGATGAGAAGTTTCTTGAATAAAGCTTACAGAAAAGCTAATATCGATTCAAGTTTAGCTGAGATCTCACACCCAAATCACTGAGTTTTTCAGTTTTTCATTTGCGGAGAAGCCAGAAGCCAAAATGAACGAAAAAAATGAATTTGAAAGTTTTTTTTCGGGGAAAATCAAGAGATGATTCAAATCTATAGACTGAAAAGATGTTGGGAAAGGTGTGTTTTTCGATTTCCTCTTAATTTTTTATGATAAACAATTGAAAATCAAGTTTTTAAATGAAAGCTTTGAGCTCTGACTTGAATTTTTCAACTTTCTCTGCTCATTTCCAAAGCCAAAACCCAGTTAGAATTCTCGAAAGTGAAAATTCGGGAAAGTGCAAATTCTGCAAAAGGTTTTTTTGTCTTTAATTTGGCTCATTTTTAAAACTTTTAAATGACCGAGAAATCGCAGAATTTAGTGAGAAATAAAGATAAGAGAATTCTCGAGCCCAACCGATGAAAGTTTCATATTTTCCTTTGAGTCGGCAATGCACTTAAAGCCATTTTTTGTTTCCTCAATTTTAAGCGATTTTTATTAGTAAGTAAGTAAGTAAGTAAGCAAGTAAGCAAGTAAGCAAGTAAGCAAGTAAGCAAGTAAGCAAGTAAGCAAGTAAGCAAGTAAGTAAGCGAGTAAGCAAGTAAGCGAGTAAGTAAGTAAGTAAGCAAGTAAGTAAGTAAGTAAGTAAGTAAGTAAGTAAGTAAGTAAGTAAGTAAGTAAGTGAGTGAGTAAGTGAGTGAGTGAGTAAGTGAGTGAGTGAGTGAGTAAGTAAGTGAGTGAGTAAATAAGTGAGTGAGTAAGTAAGTAAGTGAGTAAGTGAGTAAGTAAATGGTGAATTGCTTTTTTCTTTGCTTTTACAAAACTTTAAGATAGAATTGTTTTTGTGAATTTCCTTCTGAAATTGTTTAAAATTCAATTAGCAAGTGGTTTTCTTTGGCTTTTTTAGATTACTTTCAGCGAGCGCTCAAGTCGGAAAGTGAAACGATTGGGAAAATGAGGAAACTCTCTTCGATATGCTTATTTCTAATGATTCCTTTGATTCTAGGTTACTTCAATTAGATCTAAATAGGTCTAAGAGATTTAAAAGTAGTGACTTGTTATTGATTTAGTATATTACTTTAGTTCAATCGGTTGTTTCTGATTGCGAATGCTCGGCTACAGGTTCGTGAGGTTGAAAACCAGAAAATCGAGTTCAATATTCAAAAGCTTCCTTGACTTTTTGTTATCCATCAATTTGTTGAACTTGTCAACAATATTGACAGTATTAAAACTACTAAAAATGCTTGATGGAACTCATTTTTGATAGCTACTTTCTGAGAGTTACTGAAAAAAAACTGAAACTAACAATAACAGCTATGTGACAAGTTATAAAACAGCTTTTCAACTTTTCAAGTTCGAGAAATTCTCGAATCTTTCTTGTAGGTTATTGGTCAGCTTGGGCGAATAATGGCGACTGTGTGCCTGGTTGGATTTGGCTTCAAACGGGCACCGCAGAGAGCACAATCAGACAACAAGTCAACTTCACGTGCGGATACTTTGGACGTCAGATCCAAAAACGAGAGTGCCTATCAGCACAAAGGGGATGCGAATGCAGGTAGATTTTGTAGAATTAATTAATTGAAGCTTTTGAATACAAAATCTCTAATAGATTTTGAGGAAAACAAATTTAATTAGCACCTACCATTGCCTGTAATCGAAAAATTAGCCATTCGTTTTAAGTTTCCGTAGCATTTTACCAATTTTTGCATTCAAAAAGCTGTTTTTCATTTGAAATTTACAACAAAAGTGACACTTTATATAAGAGGTTGAACAGTACAAACTACTAGCTACAAGCTACAAACTACTAGCTACAAACTACTAGCTATAAACTACTAGCTATAAACTACTAGCTACAAACTACTAGCTACAAGCTACTAGCTATAAACTACTAGCTACAAACTACTAGCTACGAACGAAATGTACAAAAGAACATGTTCGAGCTTCTGATTTCAGCGGTGATGCTTCTCGGGTGATTCCGTGCGGTGATTCGACTCCATGCAATGATCCACGATTCGCTACACTGATTTGTCAAGATGGATTTGAGTATGTATTCGATTCGGTTTTATTTTCTTTTTCGTACTAAATCACATGACTAGATCGAAAATTGAAACAATTTAGGCTAACTGATGGCCAGTGTGTCCCATCGTCTCCATCGACCGATCCACCCGTTGTCGTCGATCCAAGTGCAGACGATCCATCGTGCAGTTAAAAATTTGAATGCCTTGAGATTCATAGATTGGTTTTTTTAGCCGTTCAACCAGTATGTTCCTGTCCGAGTGGAGGTGAGATGCCAAATGAGAAATAAATGCCTATGATTATCGTATTCTTCTTGCAGAAGCTATTTTTTTTTTCATCACATTGCGCTACATTTCAGGAGCGATCTGATAACGAAATGGAAAAATCCTCTGGCTAAGGGCATTCGAAACTGCTTTCAAATCCTGATCATAAACCATTTTCGGGTGTTTTTCTTGAAAAAAGAAAAAACTTGATCGACAGTGGATCCGAACCCGGGACAAGAACAGACCATTCACTTCACACTTTACCACCGAGACACAGAGGTCGGCTCGTGTCAACACCTTAAGTAGGCTAGTACTGGTCGAAACTTTGAAGGCTTATTTCTCGAAAATGGCTTATTATAAGTAGAATTTGAAAGCAGTTTCCCTTGCCCTAAAGGACGTTGAACAACGGAATCAGATCGCTCCTGAAATCTAACTTCAGGTGCGCTAATTAGCGACGGGAGAGGTAATTAGCAACAGGAGAGGTTTAGGTGTTTGGAGTGATTGGCAGAATTCATCCACTTGCCCACTGATGCCAACTTTTTACCGAATCAACGAGAGTTTCCCGTTTACACAAGCCACCACATCTCCTATTGGATGCGGCTCGTGTCAAGTTCAACTCCAAGAACGAACATGCCTCTCAGAACAGCTCGGATGTCCTTGCAGGTTTGTGTATCAAATCTATGCATATGAGATTTTGTAAAGACTGAAACTCTTCTCATTTCAGTGGAGTAGCGTGGCGCTGGCGCAGGTGTAATCCATCGATTTGTCTTTTTCCCTTGCAAACCTGTTGCGACGATGTTGATGGAATCAAAAGGACGCTAGTCATAGAACAAGCATGTTCTTCTCTGACTCTCTCTAATTTTGTTCTCTAGAAAACATACTTATGCCTACCCACTCCATCAACACTTTGGGATGACGCATCGACGTCGCCTAGTCTCTCGACATTGACAAATTGTTAGTCTTGTAGATTTTAAACTTTTACCTTTTGCAGTCGACTCTCGATAGACGATTTTGAAATCCTAAAACACGTCCTTGGTTTCTGCGTAGCTGACCAGCCAAACACAATCGTTGGCCGTTCAGGACAGCAAGAAATTTGGGACACGTTTTAGAATCGTTAAATCGAGAGTCGATTGTATTTGAAAAGAAACAGGTAGTACTACTACTTTGATGCCTACCACAACAACAACAACAACAACTACAACTACTACAACAACAACTACAACTACAACAACAACTAGCACTACTACAACGACCACAACAACCAAAACGACCACCACAACAACAACTACAACGAAAACTACCACTAAACCGACTAAAACCACAATTAAAACTACTACTAAGCCTACAACTACGACCCCTAAGACTACGACAAAAACTACGACAACGACAACAATTCGCCCAACGACAAAGACGACGAAAACTACAACTAGATTGACAACGAGACCGACAACACGTCTGTTAAATGTTTTTTGTTGCTTATAATTAAAATTCTAATTTTAGTAGCACCGTGCAAATGCACGATTCCCATTTCCGGGCGTCCACCAAATCCCGTTCCACCACTGCCACAGGGAATAAGGTGAACGGTTTTTAGGCGAAACATCGATAAAATAACCCCGAAAAACCAAAATCTCGAAAATCACTGCAAACAAAATATTTTGAAATCTTCAGATGGACTAATTGAAGAGCTTTAGATTTGACAATACTTGAAAATAGTTGACAATAGTTTTTTGAGTTCTGGGTCATTTGGTGCTTCTTCTACACCAGTTTCCTGTAGGCGAGAAGTAGTCTAGTCCTCCTAGCAGGCAGAAGAAGGGAAATTTGTATTCTCTCAGAAAATTTCCATATTTCGGCGTTTCTAAACGAGACGAATTCAGTGGCACATGTGCACCAACGGTCGCTCAATTCGGCTGCATGCTGGTTGGACCTCCGACCGCCGATTTGGCTACCTATACCATCTACGATGATGTAAATAACTTAATTTAAATTGAAATCAATCAAAATTAAGTCCTTTAATTCATAAAGGCTTTAGCACGGAAAAGCGATCAAAACGGTTTCCTTTTGCGTTTCTCAATGGCAGCAGCACATTCTACAGGGTACATGTGACACAAGTCCTTCACCGGGAGCTGTGAATAACTTCAGAAAATACAATGTAGGTGTTAATTTTACCCACATATTCTTTACTAAACAAGAAAAAGCATATCAAAGAAAAGCATATCAAAAAAGCAAATCCAAAAAAAAAGCTTTAGGGTATTCGTATCGCGTACATCAATTGCCAAGTCGTCGGTTTTAGACTGCAATGCTTGATTGGAAAATAAAATCATTGTGATTGAAGAATATAAAACTTCTTTTTGCTACACGTCTAATGCATAAAACAAAAGAAAGAATCTAGAAATCTAGTTGCTAGATGCAAAGTGTGGATCTAGGCTGCACATGTCTAGCTGAACCCTAGCTGAACCCTAGCTGAACACTAGCTAAACCCTAGCTGAACCCTAGCTGAACCCTAGCTGAACCCTAGCTGAACACTAGCTGAACCCTAGCTGAACCCTAGCTGAACCCTAGCTGAACACTAGCTGAACACTAGCTGAACACTAGCTGAACACTAGCTGAACACTAGCTGAACACTAGCTGAACACTAGAGGACCTTATGTCCTTGTAGAAATTCGTCAAACATAACGTGGCAGATGTCCAAGTGGCAGATGCCCAAGTGGCAGATGAACAATAACCACAGTAAAAGGAAAAATTTCGAAATAACAGAAAGTGAGGAAACACGGTTTCATTGTTTTTTTATTTTATCAGTTTCACGCAACAGCTCCACCTCTGTTTTCTTTACGAGTTTAGTGATGAATCGGAAAAATAGCAACATTTCATACGCACCAACCCAATACAAACTATAACCTTTCTACTTTTGACCATTAAAATACAATTTTTGCTTTTTTGCAATGGATTTCTAGTAAAATAATGCTTTAGATTTGAATTTTAGACCAAAAGGCGATGTTATTCTAGATTAAAAGAATTTCTTTTCTTTTCCTTTCAAAAGGGATATTAGGATGGCGCCTGTGTTTTTCCCTTTTTCTTTTCACATCTCTGCTTCTCTGTATCTCACAAAAAAAGCGAGGAAAAGTGCTCTTGTTTACTCCTTTTCACTATTGATCGGCCGTAACAAAACGGCAAATAGCCTTTTTTAGTTAGTTTCTTAGTGTTCTGAATGCTATGCTTGTTTAGAATTATTAAATTATCTTTGTTTATCATTTTTCTTGACATTTTATGAGCAAAAAGACTAATGTTTACTTATTTATTGGGTTGGTGATTTGAAAACTGCGGGACTTTGAACTAAAATTTATTCAACATAAAACCATCAATTCATTCTAAATTATTTCCATTACTATTGACGACTTCTGCCCATTTTACAGGCAATTTGCGGATTCCTCTTTCGTGGTAGGATTTTGGTTTGTGTGTGAGACAAGTGTGAGACTCAAAAATGGAGGACTGGAGACAAAATGGGTTTCTTTTGAAGAAAGTGCTCAAACGTCCTCTAGGGACATCTCCAGTCCTCCATTTTTGAGTCACACACTTGTCTCACACACAAACCAAAATCCTACTACGATTCCTCATCCGCAAATTGCCTGTAAAATGGGCAGAAGTCGTCAATAATAATGGAAATTATTTGGAATGAATTGATGGTTTTATGTTGAATAAATTTCAGTTCAAAGTCCCTCAGTCTTCAATTCACCAACCCAATAAAACACAAATCTAAATAATCTGCCCGCGCGATTTTTTTGTTACATCGTCTTGGATGTCCCTGGAGGACGTTTGAGCACTTTCTTCAAAAGAAACCTATTTTGGTGTGAATAGAAAAGTTATAGAGAATCAAAAATGAGGCTTATAGCCAAATTTCCAGAAAGATACACTTAGTAGTTTCGCTTAGAATGCAAGTTTTGTGAAAATTCGTAAATTTGGCATTTCTTGAAAACCAATTTTTGAATCGTTCTGAAAATTTGGATATAAGCTTGATTTTTGATTCTCTACAACTTTTCCATTGACACCAAAATGGGTTTCTTTTGAAGAAAGTGCTCAAACTGTCACATCTGACAATAGCCCGCAGTTTTCAATCCACCAACCCAATAATTGAAGCTTTTCACTCCAGCTATTGGAGAATTCTCTTGGTTTCCAATAGTTTGCTATTTTTTAAACCCTAAAACTATTGTACTTAAGCGAAAATGTTTAGAAACCCTAAATTTCTACATGGAATCTTTTCTTCTCTGCAAGGTTGGATTTCCTTTTTTTTTTTTTTTTAATTCTTTTTCTAGATGCCAGAATGTGGACAAAAAGTCAAGAAACATGCTCTCAAATCCCACGCCACCACTCATCATCCAACGAAGAGATTCCGTTGTTCGAGTGAGATTTTAGATTTTCAAAATACAGTCAAACCTAGTTAACGTAACAAGAAAGAACAAAAAAAAATGGGGCTTGCTACTCCAGGTGTTTGATCTAGCCTCCAGAGTATTGGATTCAAGATAACTTTTTTTTAATTTAAAAGCCAAGACTTCAAGCTAGCTAATGATACTATTATTCAGCAGAATAGTTGTACAATGTTCACAACCATTTGTACAATCTACAACTGACTAGATTTGCTTGACGAGACAGAACAAAAAAAGTCGGGGCCTGCTACTCCAGGTGCTTGATCTAGTTTCCAGAGTATTGGATTTCAATGAATTTTTTAAAATTTAAAAGCCAAGACTCTAAGCTATCTAATGATATCTATCACTTAAATTTTTCTTTTAAAAACGGGAGTCAAAAACGTTGTCGAGATTTAACGAGACAATTCCTCGTTATCTCGTTGAATCTCGATAAGGTTTTTGACCGACTTTTTCAAAAGAAAAATTGAAGTGATAAATATCATTAGACAGCTTAAAGTCTTGACTTTTAAATTAAAAAAAGTTCTTTAGAATTCAACACTCTAGAGGCTAGATGAAGTGCCTGGAGTTGCGCGATCCATTTGTCTCGTTAACTCTCATTAGCCAAATCTAGCCAACTGGCTGTGAAAGCCAACTGGCTGGCTGTGAAAGCCAACTGGCTGGCTGTGAAAGCCAACTGGCTGGCTGTGAAAGCCAACTGGCTGGCTGTGAAAGCCAACTGGCTGGCTGTGAAAGCCAACTGGCTGGCTGTGAAAGCCAACTGGCTGGCTGTGAAAGCCAACTGGCTGGCTGTGAAAGCCAACTGGCTGGCTGTGAAAGCCAACTGGCTGGCTGTGAAAGCCAACTGGCTGGCTGTGAAAGCCAACTGGCTGGCTGTGAAAGCCAACTGGCTGGCTGTGAAAGCCAACTGGCTGGCTGTGAAAGCCAACTGGCTGGCTGTGAAAGCCAACTGGCTGGCTGTGAAAGCCAACTGGCTGGCTGTGAAAGCCAACTGTCTCGTTAACTCTCATTAGCCAAGTCTAAACTAAACGAAACTAAACTAGACTAAACTAAACTAAACTAAACGAAAACGGTAGAAGTAGAGAAAATCTTTGCCATCTTTCACGATATTCAGTCAGAGTCCGTTTTCTATTGTACAAACAACCAAAAAATTCCCGACTGACATTTTAGAAAACTTATCGAGAACAATTATCGAGAACGACTGAAGAAGAATGTCGATTATTTTCACAAAAGTTATACTACTTGAGAAATATTTAATAAATATTGATTTGAAATAACGTAATATTTGAAAACAGAATATAAATATTAAAAAAATTTTAGTTTGCAATTATCGAGAACGACTGAAGAAGAATGTCGAGATGCATCAAGACAATCGACACAATGGACAGGGAGAAGTCATCGATGAGAAGTGAGATAAAGACGGAGAATGACATAATGATGAGAAAAACTCATTTAGAAATGATGAGTATTTGGAAATTTTGGAGACAATTATGGAGCAATGTTTCCCATATGGAACCACGGAATCTGAGGAAGAGGTTTGATTAGTGAAAGGCATCAAATTACAGTTTTCTAAACAAATTTCAAGTTCGAATCTGTTTTTACTCTCAAAAACTCGTACTCTATTCTAAGAACGTTAGTAACTAACTCCTAAAATGATTTGCCACAAAATCAAAGGCGATGTAACAAAAAAAAAGTCGCGCAGGCAGATTATTTAGATTTGTGTTTTAGTTAAAAGGAATTGGTTATGTTGAATTTATACGGCATTTGTGAATGGATTGAAAAAAATTGAATGAAATGAGCTGAAAAGAAAACGAAATACAACCGTATTAGAATTTTAAACAATAAATTATGGGCAAATAATATAAAAAGAAAGGAACGAACGAGGGGAAAGAGAGAGAGGGAAGAAAGAGGGAGGGAGAAAGAGGGAGAAAGAGGGAGAGAGAGGGAGAGAGAGGGAGAGAGAGAGAGAGAGAGAGAAAGAGTACTTTAAAAACCCGCTACAAAAACATACCGTAAATACTGCAATAGTGCCCCACCGCCCTAGTACAGTCGCGTAGTCGCAAAAGTTTTTTAGTATTTCATTTTTTTCAAAGCGCCGGTACTTTAAAAAAATGCGTCTTTGGTATCAAAAAATAGCCCTGAATTTCAGCTATTTTTTGATACCTAAGCGCGCACTGTAGCATAAATCAGTGTCGAGAAAAACTCGCTCAAAGCTAGACTATGCGACACTCCGCACCGTCATTATGGGGCTGGGGTACTATTACAGTATTTACGGTAATAGCTTATATACAAAAAAAAAAACTAGCGAGTCTCAGCATAAAAGCCGGAAAACGAATCCGATTGGGATGATGGAATAAAAGAAAATGAAAGCAATGGCAAAAGGGAAATTTTTGTGCGCGGTACGGTAGTATTCATGCTTTAGAAAGCGTACGGTAGTATTCATGCTTTAGAAAGCGTACGGTAGTATCCATGCTTTAGAAAGCGCACAGCGTCGCTTTAAAACCAATCAATAGGAATCTAAATAAAGAGGTTATTTTGGACATCTTTAACTTCTGTTTTTCTTTAGTCCAAAAAAAAACTTGCTTTACTTTAAGTCAAATGGCTTTAGTTTAAGTCAAGTTTGATTTTAACTCTAATCATACATTAAATTAAGGCCTATAAACTTTAGCATTTTTTTGGATAAAAATGCTGAAATTTCAGAGCGATGTGGAGGAAAGTGATGAGGAAGAATCTCTTTCAAAAACTGTCAACAATAAAGACCTGCTTGTCTTTCTTGAACCAGTAAGTTCTAGAGACAAATGAAAAGACAAATTAGCCTATTTTAAACTAAATTTAGGCTCCAAGCACCGTGATGCTAAGGCAGAAAAACGCTTTCACTTGTCAGGTTTATTTTTGAAGTTTTCTTTCGAAGAATCTTGATTCTTTCTACTACAAAAAATGGCGTTTTTTTTGCTTTTCATTTATTTTTTTTTCTAAGCGCTGGTTAAAGTTAAAAATACATTTAATAGCTCAAAAAGAATCGCCTATCCTTTCTAATTTGATCTGTTTTTAATCTGTTTGAGCGCCGATATATGAGTGGTTCTTTGAGCGGAAACTTAGACTACGCAAGGTTCCTATAGAGGGCTTAGGGTAGGGCCCACTATTAGGGCCTACTATTAGGGCTTTTTGTGATATTCATTGATATAATTCATATGATATGATATGCTTTTATGAAATGAAAAAAGGGTTTTCAAATTCATGGAAATCTTGGAAAGTAAAAATAAAGCCGCTTTTCTTAGAACCTAAAATCACTTTCTAGATGCCAGCTTGTGGGCAAAAGATCTCACCTGGGAAGAGTATGTTCGGTTTTCAAGCACATGCTCTTGTACATCATCCAAATAAAAGATTTCGATGTACAGGTGAGTACAGATGATTTTATTGAATTTCCATGTGTTTAGTATGCGATTTCGAAGCTCATCAGAAAGGTGGCATTCTGCGACACCAAGAAGTAATGCACGAAGGAGGGGGATTGATAGTCGATGAAATGTAAGTAGACCATCTTCGCAGAAACATTAAGTCAGTCTACGAAAGTGATCAAATACAGCACTTGATCAGTGCTGTATTTGTGCTTGTTCAAATTAATTTGTTGTCGATGTTGTTGTTGTTGCTGTTGCTGTTGTTGTTGTTGCTGTTGCTGTTGTTGTTGCTATTGTTGCTGTTGTTGTTGCTGTTGTTTTTGCTGTTGTTGCTATTGTTGCTGTTGTTGTTGCTGTTGTTGCTGTTTTCAGCCATCTAATATCAGGAGTACTTCCTTTACTTTAACCAAATATTCTCGGGTAAGTAAATGAAGAAAATTTAGAGATGAGACCTACTTTGAGACACTCGATGAGCTCATTGCGAAGTGTTTCCCTACAGCACGACAATTCAAGGTTTAAAAAATTACTTTGAAAAGAATCAAACAATTACAATCATTTCTCTAGTTAACTTATTTTTCAAAATAGATAAAGAAACGAAAATTTGCAGACGAGAAAAGTCACTGGAAGAGTCACCGAAAACGATGTAAAAGCGGTGGTTAAGATGGCGCAAGATGATTCTCTTTTGGCATCGGTTTGTTTTTTTGGTGGCTTTTCTTTGGATTTTGCTTGTTTATGAAACAAGTGGCTTTCTTTAAATACCACTTATCCAGTTCCCCAACTGGATAAGTGGCATTTATAATGGAATGTGCTGGAATGGGCAAAAGTGGGGATTCAATTCTCAGTTGAACTTGGAGTGCCTAAATTGTCGATAACCACGTAGTCCTCTGGAATTTAACCCATCTCAAAGCCAAATTCATTCATACAAATTGTATGAATTCTTTTAGACTTATTCGTCTCGTTATTCAAGCACATTTAGACTTCGACTAGCGATAAGAATGCAAAGATATCAGATAGGGAAGTGAAGGAAGGAGATTTGGCTTGTCAGGCAAGTTTAGATCAGAAAAATTGATGTATATTCAACTTCTAGATCCCTGGCTGTGAACAGGTGTTGAAAAAAGGGAAAACCGGAATGAAATATCTTCGAGTACATGCACGAGTTCATCATCCGATCAAGAGATTTCACTGCTCGAGTAAGAGTAATCCATTTGAACAACTAGAAAAAGGATATCAGTTTAGTTAATATTAATATAAAACACACAAAAAAAACCCGTGTTTATTTGTTTAATTAATTATCCATTAACTAAAATAGAAGATTTTTGTCAAAACGAAGCTGTAATTTGAATTCGGAATTGTTTTGATTGGGTTGATGAATTGAAAACTGCCGGACTTTGAGCTAAAATTTATTCAGTATAAAACCATCAATTCATTCCAAATAATTTCCATTATTATTGACGGCTTCTGCCCATTTTACAGGCAATTTGCGGATTCCTCTTTCGTAGTAGGATTTTGGTTTGTGTGTGAGACAAGTGTGAGACTCAAAAATGGAGGACTGGAGATGTCCCTAGAGGACGTTTGAGCACTTTCTTCAAAAGAAACCCATTTTGGTGTCAATAGAAAAGTTGTAGAGAATCAAAAGTTAGGCTTATAGCCAAATTTCCAAAAAGGATACACTTAGTAGTTTCGCTTAAAATGCAAGTTTTGTGAAACATTCGTAAATTTGGCATTTCTTGAAAACCCGTTTTTGAATCGTTCTGAAAATTTGGATGTAAGCTTGATTTTTGATTCTCTACAACTTTTCCATTGACACCAAAATGGGTTTCTTTTGAAGAAAGTGCTCAAACTGTCACATATGACAATAGCCCGCAGTTTTCAATTCACAAGTCCAATAGTTTACGAAAAGTCAGATCTGATCCTTGCTTCGAAGCCTTCTAGGGTTCGGTTAAACAAGTCTGAAGGAAGAAAATCGACTTTCACCAACCCAATATTAATATAAAACACAAAAAAACCCGTCTTTATTTGTTTAATTAACTATAAATTAACTATATAAAGTAACTAAATAATTTTTTTTTGCATTTCTCCTAAAAATTTCAATTTCTTTCCAGTGTGCAATCAAGCCTCAATGACAAAATTAAACGTCGTTCATCATCAAAAGCGAAAACATAACAATCTTGGATCAATCGTTGACATTGCGTGAGCCTTTAAAAAAATCGAATCCGAAAATGGAAATGTTTTAGGGACAAAAACTACTTTGATATTCTCTCAAGTATCACAAAGAAGTGTTTCCCAGAGTACGTCGGGAGAAACGTCGCCAGAAAGAGAACAAAACGAGAAGAGGTGCTTGATATTGTTATTGCAAAGGCATATCTTTACCCGTTCAACTTCAGCTCAAGGTTTAGATTGAAAATTCACGCGAATCAATCAAGAAAGATGATGAAAGCGAGGATTTTGAAGGGGAAACTTTTGCGTTTGAGGTGGTGTATCATTCTGATATCCAGTCAACTTCCTAAAACGGTTTACCGGGTGACAAAGAATTACCGCAACACAAAAAAGGCCTGGCTTTTAACCAAATACGCAACCCATCACGAAAAGTTAACTTAAATATCTTTATTCAACGTATAACAGTAACAAATTAACAATTAAATTAAATGAAATTCAAATTTGCCTCCATCGGCATTCAGACAGGCCTGCAAACGTTTGGGAAACGCGTTGACCATTGAAAAACGCACCGTGGCGAGCAAATAGGCATCATCGAGGGTATCCCATGCTTTGTTGTGCGCCTTCTTCAAACTTTCGATATTTTTATGTGGTTTTGCACATGCCCTGGCTTCAAGAACACTCCAGACTAAGTAATCCAATGGGTTAAGATCGGGTGAGCTTGGTGGTCACTCAGAAAACGAGATAAAGTCCGGGAAGGTCTTTGAATCAAAACTCTTGCACTTTCTTTGCCTTGTGAGCCGGCGCATCATCTTGTTGATAAGTCCAAATTCGATTTTTGAAGTGGCGTTGAGCCCACGGAACAACCTCTTTCTTTAGCAAGTCCAAATAATTGACCGCATTTACTTTCACACCTTGAAGAACAAAGATGTTGCGGTAATTCTTGGTCACCATGTACTATCGGTTCACTCTAGAAATAGGAAAATTCCAATCCGAACCGAATTCCACCTTCGTTTTCTCGGCCGTTTCTTGGCTGATTCTTGATCAATTCTTGACCGACTCTTCGTCGATTCTTGGCCGATTGTTCTGAAATTTTGCCTACCAATAGAAATCGTTCAACTTGTAAACAAAGTTCAGAGCAATCGACCAAGAAACGGCTGAGAAAAAGGAAGGTGAATTTAGGTTCGGTTTGGAATTTCCCCCATGTCTAGTCTACTAGACTTATGAGTTTGCATTTTAAAGATCTTGAGCTTTGCTTGAGAGTTTTGATTATTTCTCAAGCTTTTGATAGGTGAATTTGTGGCTCTTCTGTTGAAAATCTTGAAATTTTCTTTAAAATTCAGCTGAAGCTGATTCAGCTAATCCCTTAAGATCTATTTTAGGATTTCGATGTTTCTAAAAACGAACCGGATCCCGTCGACATCGCCGAAGAAGACCACCTTTGTATGCAAATTGATACGGTAACCTCTTTTTTAAATAAATAACCAAATATTGTACTCCTAGAAAGTCAAGGAGGAGATTTTCAAGGAGGAGGAGAAGGACGAAGACGCGCTGAATGTCGACTTGTTGTTGGAGCAATCGGCTGCTATGGTTAGGGTGCTTGCGAATACCGTTTTTAAAACTTTTGAGTCAAATTTTGTTATTCTATTGGAAAAACATAAGAATTTGAAGATGATGAAAGTCATGGATTGCCCTGAAAACCCGTTTTCAGCGCTCGGTTTCACAAATTCAACAAGTTCGGGTCAAGTTGGAGTCGATCGATCAGAAAGAGGCGATCCCCGTGTTGTTGTTGACGCCAAAAGGTAGATTATAAGGATTTCAAAGCTGTGGGATTGTATCCCCAACTGTTCTAGCTAATAGAAAAAAAACCGATTTCAGGAGAGCTCCTAAGTCAAGATGAGCGTCTTCAAGACAGATGATTTTCGAAGATCAAGATTGAATTAATTGTTGACTGGCTATTTGTTGACGTTGTCTAATTTTGATTAAAAATTATGAAAAAGGGAATATACAAAATGCATCATCAAAAGAAAGTTTAGATTAGATGACAAGTTATGAGTTCTTTCGAATTTGCATCAAAATTCGACCTCATCACTTTCCCAAAAGCAAACTAGAAACTAGAAATTGGAAAATTACCCAAATTTTGCAAGCTGGCCAACGGTTGACGGTTTACTTCTGTAAAGTAAAATTCCGAAAATCAAATATTTGGAAAGTGAAAGTTCATTGTTTTCGCATCATTGAATTTTTTGTTCATTTACCTATTTTACACAAAAATTTTCTTTGTTTACAACTCTGGGATTTAATTTGAAAAAAAGCGTGCCAACTCATACCCACCAACCAACCACCAATACAAGTGTGTGTCCCATTCAGCCAGGCGCTCTGATTTTGGTTTATCATTTTGCGCAGAGTCCAAAACTGTGACCGCTTTCGAATTGAACACTCGTCGATGACAATGTTTTTTGTTGCTTATAATTAAAATTCTAATTTTAGTAGCACCGTGTAAATGCACCGATTCCTATTTCCGGGCGTCCACCAAATCCCGTTCCACCGCTGCCACAGGGAATAGAGTGTTAGAGTGTTGAGCTTCTGCAAACCAACCACCAATACAAGCGTGTGCCCCATTCAGCCAGGCGCTCAGATTTTGGTTTATCATTTTATCATCAAATTGTGACCGATTTCGAATTGAACACTCGTCGATGACAAAAAAGGATTCTTTAGCACTTGAAGCACTTCTGAAAGTGATTTATTTTTTTCTCAAAAGCTCTTTTTTTGTCTTGCCAAAAATGTTGTTGAGAATAAAAATCAATAGTGAATTCTTTTTCTTTCAAAACTCTTCAAATTTCAATCTTTTATCATAAATCAATCAATCTGGCGATAAAGATTTGTTTCTTTTCTTTGAAAAGTCAATTCCTTTGAAGGGAACAGCTAGTTTCAGCCTTGATTTTGGTTTATCATTTTGCGCAGAGTCCAAAACTGTGACCTCTTTCGAATTGAACACTCGTCGATGACAAAAAAGGATTCTTTAGCCCTCGGAGCACTTCTGAAAGTGATTTATTTTTCCTCAAAAGCTCTTTTTTTGTCTTAGCAAAAATGTTGTTGAGAATAAAAATCAATAGCGAATTCTTTTTCTTTCAAAACTCTTCAAATTTCAATCTTTTATCATAAATCAATCAATCTGGCGATAAAGATTTGTTTCTTTTCTTTGAAAAGTCAATCAATTTCAGTCAGTCAATTTCCGTGAAGAGTTTTATTTTAATCTTTATTTTCTAAATGCTCAAAGTGATAGAAAAGAATAAAAAAATAAATTAATCAAATAATCTTTTCTTCTTTAAACAGCAAATTTCATCAATTTCATCAATTTCATTTTCTGTGGAGATTTTTACGAAAAATTTTGATTCCAGTGACGAAATGGTCGGATTGATTTTCGGCTAGAGTGTGCCTGAAATGAAAAACGTCTTAAGGGAAATGAAATTCGCCTATGTACCGTCTAGTTTCCGGGATTGCTTTGAGGTGCTCATCAATTCCCGTTACCGATCCGGTTCTCATTCGACGTCTTGTCGAACGTCTTTTTGAGCCAGCCGTTTCACCATCCGAAAAAACGGCTTTACTTTTTCCACGAGGACTTATCACCTAGAAATTTTCAGCTTTAAATTTTGCTTCAATCTTGTTTTTTTGTTGACTTTTTTGACTAGAGTGCCAACGAAATAGACATAAATCTACCGTAAACAAATCGCAGAATTCGCGTAATTTTCACGTTATCGTATTTTCTCTAATAGTAGCGCAACCCGGCGAGCCGAGTTGATGACTATTTTACGGTTTCCAAGCTTTTGCAGAAGCTCCAACACTCTAATCCCCCACAAGATCTCATCGTCAGCTACATTTTCCGACCCCACATCGATAGGTTCTGATAAGCGGAGCAATTTAGGCGAAGCTCAGAACGCACTACTATTAGAGAAAATACGGTATTCAAAGGCTGAAATGATAAAAGTATTTTTGAAATGATATTATTAAACGCATAAAAAGTAAATGATTTTTTATAGGTAAAAATCGTTCGTATCGTTTAGTGACATAGCTGAGGTGGAAATTCCCGAATTTGCAAGCGGTTTTCCCTTTTCACTTTCAATTTTAAGAAAAACTGAGTAAAAATTAGGAAACTATAATAAGAATGCCGTTTTTTAGTATCAGTAAAGCTTTTCTCGAAAGTGAACAGCTTGAAGTTAAAAAAGGAGCTTTCTAATGAACAATCTAATGAACGGTTCTCGAGATTTCAAGGAATTTAAGTGAAGCTTAGGGTGCACTACTATTAGAGAGGTATGTTTGTTTTGAAAGAATTGGTTTTTTAAAGTTGTATTGCTTCAACAAAGCTTCTACTACAATGTTAGCCTAGATTTACCGTATTTTTTTTTTTAGTAGCGCCCCCCCTTTAATAATATTTTATTTAGGGGGGGGGTTTTTTATATTTTTTTGTTTTCAAATTTTTTCAAAAAGAAACAAAACCCCACCCCCCTCCAATTTTTATTTTTTTTTTTTTTTTTTTCTCCAATATTGGTTGGTTTGTTTTTGTGTTTTTTTTTTTGTTTGTTTTATTTATGGTAGGGGGGTACTATTAGAGAAAATACGGTATTTCCTATGATTCAGCCTTAAATGCTTTCATTTTCAAGCTTTTTTCAAGCTTTCTCACAACCTCAACCGCTGGTGTGAGCACATCTTTCAGCGCTTCTTCGATATCCGATTCGTTTTCATTCAGTGAAGATTTTCGATCGTTTCTCATCTTTATTGGATTCTTATTTGCTTTTTCGAGCGCTTGTCTTACCTGAAAAGTGTTTTTGGAATCTAATTTTTTATGAAAATCACTTAGAAAGTTAAACCTTTCAAAAATGAAACTTTGGGGGGGGGGGGGAAAAGCGACCCTTCCCTTGGCGCCCGGGAAACCCCCCCCCCCCCCCCCCCCCCCCAAAAAAACGAAAAAAAAAAAAAAAAAAAAAAAAAAAAAAAAAAAAAAAAAAAAAAAAAAAAAAAAAAAAAAAAAAAAAAAAAAAAAAAAAAAAAAAAAAAAAAAAAAAAAAAAAAAAAAAAAAAAAAAAAAAAAAAAAAAAAAAAAAAAAAAAAAAAAAAAAAAAAAAAAAAAAAAAAAAAAAAAAAAAAAAAAAAAAAAAAAAAAAAAAAAAAAAAAAAAAAAAAAAAAAAAAAAAAAAAAAAAAAAAAAAAAAAAAAAAAAAAAAAAAAAAAAAAAAAGAAAAAAAAAGAAAAAAAAAAAAAAAAAAAAAAAAAAAAAAAAAAAGAAACAATCCCCCCCCCCCCAACTTTTGCTTTTACTTTTATCAAAAATAGGGGAATTTTTAGTAAACTTTTACCAAATAAAAAGAAACTTTTAAAGAAAATTGGAAAATTTTACAGAAAATTGATAAATTTACTAGATTTTCTTAAAGAAATAGAGTCGTTTTTTAGTGTAAAACTTTTTTCTTACGTCAAAAAGCGTCACCACACCAATCAGACGCCCATATTCGGTTACATAAGACTGAAAAGAAGACGTAAAAGTTTAAAAAAAGACAAATAAAAATATAAAAATAACCTTTGTTAGCTTGAGCATTGAAAATAATGAATGAATTTCAGAAAGTGTTGTTCGACGAGCGATTTGAAAAGAAGCTGGATCAACGAGCTCTTCGGTGAAGAGAAAAGTCTCATTTAAACGCTCTTGTTCCCAGGTTTCTCGCTAAACGAAAGTAATTACTGAAGTTTCAATAAATCTATTCATTATTTATTATTATTTGATCATTTATTATTATTTGATCATTTATTATTATTTGATCATTTATTATTATTTGATCATTTTTATTTGATCATTGATTTGATCATTTATTTGATCATTTTTATTTGATCCTTGCTTTTTTATCACAAATTTGAAGCTGATCCAAGTCTCGCAAACTCTCCTCTGTCCCAATTAACTCGTCCAAGGCGCTATTGGAGATCTCATTTTGTCTTTTTCCTTTCAAAATATTCATGGCTTTCTTGGCTTGCTGCATTTGGTCTATATAAACAAAATTCTGATATAGTGAAAAGCTTTTATCGAACCCATCATGAAATTTCGGCAATTCGAATATTGATTGACTAGAGTTGAACTCAACTTTCTCCCTGGTTCACTGAAATTTTTTTCTTTTATTTCATTTCTTTTAAAATCTTGGAATCAAGGAAACAAAAATTCTACTAGAGTAATTTTAGATTAGCAGCCTGAAAGTACACTGAAAGTACTGAAAGCACTGAAAGCACTGAAAGTACTGAAAGCACAGAAAGTACTGAAAGCACTGAAAGCACTGAAAGTACTGAAAGCACTGAAAGGACTGAAAGCATTGAAATCTTTCAAAAGCCTGTTTTAGAGAATAAATGCCCCTTTTTATTTGTGAAGACTTTAGATCAATTGGTGCATTAGTTATTTCCAAAAAGTGCAATGAATAAGTGTACCAGACTTTCAAGTCGCCAATCTAATACTTTCATTCTTCTCAAACAAACTTCTCTATGGTAATTTGCACGGAATTCTCAAGCTCTTCAATACTTTTGATTGCTTCTGAAGCTCTTCTCTCTGCTTCATACTAATCATAAAATTAGAAATAATAAAAATATCTAGCTGTTTAGCTGAAACCTGTCTAGAAGCATCACCGATTTGTTCATCGAGAATATCCAATAAAGTCCCTCGACTTACCGTCCCAAAAAGCATTTGAGTGGCTAAAATTTTCCTTAGAGAAAAGGCTGTGTTTCACTTCACCTTCTCCATCAACAACGGGGAACATTTTCAGTTGTGATGCTTCGGTTAATATCCTTTTTATTTCCCCATACTTTGTAGCTTTGCACAGAAAACGGACCGGTTTTGTCATCAATTTTTCAGCTCTCATCGTATGAACACTGAAATTTTGATATGATTTTAGGATTTGATTGTTGAAAAGAAGGGAATGCTCTAGATTTTTAAAGAAATGATACTTTTTATTGGATATTTATTGATATTTATTAATATTTATTGATATTTATTGATATGTTGTGTCCGATTTAGATTTCCGATTTAGATTCAATCTAAATCGGGCGTCTTATATAGAATGAACAATAATATAAACATGCTTCATATATGTTCTTAAGCGTTTTCTGTAGTTTTCTGCATTTTCAAAGGTCTTTAATTGATTATTTCATAGTTGGGTTTTCTTTTCAAAAAAAGACAGTAACAGACCTTTGAAAAATGCAGAAAACTACGGAAAATGCTTAAGAACATATATTACATATTCATACTTTATTCAGGACGTGAAATAAAGCGTAATCAGTCAGACAATACACAAATCTGCACATAAATACATAGAGAAAGATGAGATATTTTACTCGGCGATGTGGAGGCGGGGAGAAAAGAAGATAGATAGAAGATAGGCTTCTTGCTTTAATAACCTCAAGCCATGAATGGGCCAACCCAGTGGAAGAGTGAACTCCGCTAGAGAAGGGATCTCTAGTCAGCTCTAGAGAAGAGACCTCTAGTCTGGGCGCACGGGCTAGGGAAGAGAACCCTAGGGGGGCCGAACCCCACACCCTCAGTTTGGAAGTGAGAACTTAGCCAATACACCATGAGGGCCCTGTTTATATTACGCATGTTTATATTATTGTTCAATCTATATAAGATTTAGATTGAATCTAAATCGGATGTCCGATATAGACTGTAATCTAAATCGGACGTCCGCGATAAGTTCATTCTAAATCGGACGTCCGCGATTTAGATTGAATCTAAATCGGGCGGAAATCTAAATCGGACACAACAGATATTTATTGGATATTTATTGATATTTATTGGAGATTTATTGGAGATTTACTGGATTTTATTAATATTTATTGGATATTTATTGATATTTATTGATCAACTTACTTGTTAAATGATGGCAAATCAGGAAGAAATGGTAAATGTTTGATTTTAATAATTGTATCGAAAAATGAAGGCTGAAGATAAGTGCAAAGAGCATTTGAAATAATCACAGCTATCTGAAAAGTTTTTTTGTTATAAGAAATGAAAATTTCTTTTTGTTACCAATGATGGCAGTAAACAATGCAATTGACCAGTGGCCTCAAATACGACAACCGAAACGGATAATGAATGAGTGACGGCACCACAAAAAGCAGCTGATCCTAATATTAATGAGAAGAAAATGACGTCTAGAAATCTAAATCTAAAAATCTAAATCTACTAAAATTTGTTATAAAACTGCAATTCAATAAGTAAAGAATGAAGGTTTTGCCAAATTTCTTGTCTTCCGATATGAGTTTCGTTGTTGGGAAAAGGGAAAAGAGAAAGGGAAAGGTTTACCCAGAAAGAAGGTGCTTTGAGAAATTGTTGAGAATTTTTTGGCTTCTAGAGGGATTTACTAGAAGATTTATGGAAAGCACAAAGTTCGGCTGAACCGTTTCCAACGAATCCGTTCCTTAACCAGAGAAGAGAACTCTGGCTTGGGCCTAGCTAGGTGTCACCGAGTTCATTTGCGCTAAATATCTGGTTTCAATATCTGGTACATGTTGTGCACTTCACGATCTTCAATTGCGCTATAATGAATGGCGTCTCGATCCATTGCCACTTCAGGGCTTCAGGGCTATTTGGTTTCTTAACGTATTCTCTGTAATAGTAGTGCAGAGTGTAGTCCCCGCCGAGTCGAGTTGATGACTGTTTTACGGTTTCCAAGCTTTTGCAGAAGCTCAACACTCAAATCCCTCACAAGATCTCATCGTTAGCTACATTTTCCGACCCCACATCGATAGGTTCTGATAAGCGGTTTTCGAGATTTCAAGCAATTTAGGCAACGCTCAGGGTGCACTACTATTAGAGAGAACACGGTATATGCTTCCTTCTTACGGTACTTCAAATAATTTCGTGATGGGGCACGAAATCGAATTTTGATTCGATCAAACTACACAAAATCATATTTTATCGAAAATCATGTTAATTACCGAAAGAAAAAGCCAAAAAAAGCCGAAAAACCCGCCTAAGAACGGGTTTTTCTGAATGTTTTGTGGCTTTTTTATCTCTCTCAGCCGTTGCGGTGGTGGCCCAGTTGGGAGCGCGCTGGTCTATGACTCACTCGGCCCAAGTTCGACCCGCCGAAGTGCCATTTACTTTTGAATTTTTGATTTTAAATGCACAACTACAATATATTCTAAGCTTTTCTAAAGAAATTTTAGCTTTATAGGTCAAAAGAAGACCGAGAAAATGCTCGTACAGACAGACAGACAGACAACAGACAGACAGACAACAGACAGACAGACAACAGACAGACAGACAACAGACAGACAGACAACAGACAGACAGACAACAGACAGACACTACTCTTTTATAAATGGTAGACAATAAACTTGCTTATCGATATCTACTATATACAAAAAATAAAATGTCCGTCCGTCTGTCGCGCCTACGCGACAATACAAAATACGTTAACGTAAAATTGCAACGAAGTGAACTAGAAAGCTGAAAATCTGTACTGGAGGGTTTTCGGAGGAAAGGAATCCGAATCTACAATCAGATTTGTGCTACGTGCCCTTAGTACCTTAGTACGGCTGCGTTATTGATTATTGAGACAAATCGCAAGCTGGAAGCTGGTTATCGATACAAATGGCATGCACATGTTTGATCATTCAGATCTCAATTTCTAGAACAGCTATTAATCTGAAAATTGTTTCATTGAAAAGTCAAGAATGAGCTTTTGATTGCTATTTTATACATAGCGACTTTTAGAAAGCACCTGATAAACTTTAACGATACTTATCGATATCGAAAGTATCGATTATCGATAAGCTTATCGATATTTGAGTATCGATATGTATTGATAAGGATAGCTTTTTAAGGGACTCACCTATGGGAATTTCCTATTTGCGAGTTAGCAATCAAAAGCTGACATTCTTGGCTTTTCAATGAAACAATTTGCAGATTGATAGTTGTTCTAGAAACCGAGATCTGAACGGTCAAACATTAGCTTACCGTTTGTATCGATAAAATCGATAAGCAGGTTTGAAAATATCTAGTAAATAAGAAAAAAAAACATAAATGCACACCTGCTACCGCATAAACACCGGGAAAGACAAAATGATGCTCGTTGAGACCATTTGGCCATAATTGAGAAGTGATCTCACCAACGAGCCGACCTGAAAAAGTTGACATCGAATTTATCTAACCATTAGTTATTGATCCATAGAAACAATTCGATAAAACGATTTTTTAGAACAATCTTTATCACAAGCAAGCTTATAATCAAGCTAAATAGTGATTCGATGCAAGAATTTGGTGCAAACCGATAGCTGCTCCAAGAACGATCGTCGGCATGAAAATCCCACACGGAATCGGTAGACTCTGTGATAGAATGGCCAATAGGAACTGAATGAATGGTTTCTTTTAGGCTCTTTTTTTTCTATTCAAACTCACCAATGATAAAACGTAGAGAGCCACCATGATAATTGGATGAAATTTTGCATCAATGAATGGACAATTGTGCGCTTCGTTGCAAAAACTCGCGCTTTTCAAGTCAGCAGAAAAAGTGCAATTCAAATAGAAATCTCGAAGATTTTTGTCAAAACGAAGCTGTAATTTGAATTCGGAATTGTTTTTATTGGGTTCGTGAATTGAAAACTGCCGGAATTTGAACTAAAATTCATTCAACATAAAACCACGAATTCATTCAAAATAATTTCCATTATTATTGACGACTTCTGCCCATTTTACAGGCAATTTGCGGATTCCTCTTTCGTAGTAGGGTTTTGGTTTGTGTGTGAGACAAGTGTGAGACTCAAAAATCGAGGACTGGAGATGTCCCTGGACGACGTTGGAGCACTTTCTTCAAAAGAAACCCATTTTGGTGTGAATAGAAAAGTTGTAGAGAATCAAAAATTAGGCTTATAGCCAAATTTCTAAAAAGATACACTTAGTAGTTTCGCTTAAAATGCAAGTTTTGTGAAAATTCGTAAATTTGGCATTTCTTGAAAACTAGTTTTTGAATGGTTCTGAAAATTTGGATATAACCTTTATTTTTGATTCTCTACAACTTTTCCATTCACACCAAAATGGGTTTGTTTTGAAGAAAGTGGGAGAACTGTGACAGATGACAATGGCCGGCAGTTTTCAATTCACAAACCCAATGGATTGAGATTAGCCTTGATTTGAGGAGAAGTCAATGCCCAATTTGAGGATTCGGAGCCGGCCAGATTAGTTTAGGAAACAGAGAGAGGGAAGGGGGTTATGTAAAAGCCCTGCGCCAGACGACGAGCTATTACGCTGCCACACAAAGAAGACACAAATTTTAAACTACTAAGTGTATCTTTTTGGAAATTTGGATATAAGCTTGATTTTTGATTTTCTACAACTTTTCCATTGACACCAAAATGTGTTTCTTTTGAAGAAAGTGCTCAAACTGGGACATATGACAATGACCGGCAGTTTTCAATTCACCAAGCCAATATATTTCTTTTATTTCTTTTTTTACCCACATGTCCAACAAAAAATCGTCCAAGTCCCGGTGGAAAAGTGATTCCACTGAGCAACACTGAGACAATCATTGGATAAAGAAGCCATCTAGAAATTTTACAGTAAAATATAAGAACCTTTTTGAAGCTTTAATCTCATAACTTCACCTCTTTTGAAAAACATTTTTAGCAAAACGATTTGTGCGAAGGAAAAGCACCAAATGTTTGTAGATTTTGATGAAACAAGCAGCAAGAAAGCCACAGATTAAGCTAAAATTCTACTTTTCTTTAAGAAATTTCTCCCAAAAAAACAATAACTTATTAAAAAATTAATAAAAAAATCATTTAAAATCAAGAAAAATACCCTAAAAAAGCAAAAATTGGCAGCTCCTGGACAGAAAATGGATCTTTTGGAAAGTAGGTTTGAAAGAAAGCACTTGTTGCGACTGAAATTTGAAAAGCTTTTGGGCTTTTGTTGATTACCCTAAAGTCTCGAGTATAAGTTCATCCGAGTATAAGTTCTGCCTTAATTTACATTCGCTTTAATTGCTTTGAAGCTTTGCTTTGCTTTAATTGTTGGGTTTTTATACATTTTTATTGTTATATAAACTTTTATTATTGTTCTTGGAGCGCGGGATACTACAGGGTGACAGCCTATCACCATTGCTGACAGCCTATCACCTATTTGTTATGTGCATGGATACATCCAGACGATAGTGTTGAAGAAGACGCTGGAAAGCATCTCTTTCGACCGTCGACGTGGACTTTGGCCGGATGAAGAGGCCAGGGAGGGATCCATAAGACTGAGCACCGGAGAGGAGCAGGGCGGACGCGCCGAGCCACGCCCGGAGCAACAAATAACAGCATAAAATTGCTATAACCCTCAATCAATTTACTTCTATTATTGTTCTTAAAAAGCAAAAAAGTTATGCTGCAGCGGGGTTCGAACCCTCGACACACCGCACCGGAGACAGCCGTCAATTTGCATGCGAAAACCAAACAGAACTTATACTCGCGACTTTAGGGTAAATGATAACTAATCCAAAAATTCTAATAACTCGTCTCAAAAAAACGATATTCGATTACCTGTTGTTTCGGCAAAAATCCCATTAAGCAAACGAAAAGTAATCGCTCCACAACAGGCGCCAAAAAAACCGCGCCAATAGTTGCGCACCGAGAAGTACGTTGTGGTGACTTCGATTGAAAAAAGAACACCTGAATAGTGAAAAGATTCAATGATTTCCTCAATAATCTCTTCAATAATCTCTTCAATAATCTCCTCAATGGTTTCTAGTTTTGTTTTTGTACCTCCAATTGGAGCACTGAATACGCAAGCGACTCCGATAGCACACGCAGCTGTCAGAGTCTCGATTCGTCTCGCATCTGATCGAAAAGTTCGGTCGAAACGAGCCACAAATATCCAGAGTTGATTGGCCAATAGTGAAGAAATATGAACAAATGGACCCTAAAGATTTTGAAGTAGATCTAAGTGTCGTAGCCAGAACTACAAAGTGGCTGAAAAGTTCTGTCCGTGTTAATCGATCACATTATTTTTTATCAATATAATTGTAATAAAATTCCTTCAAGATCACGAAAACACTAGAAATCTATAAAATCTACTAAAATTTGTTAAAAAAAACTGCAATTCAATAAGCAAAGAATGAAAATTTTGCCTACTTTCTTGTCTTACCGTATTCTCTCTAATAGTAGTGGACCCAGCTGAGTCGAGTTGGTGACTATTTTACGGTTTCCAAGCTTTTGCAGAAGCTCAACACTCTAATCCCCCACAAGATCTCATCGTCAGCTACATTTTCCGACCCCACATCGATAGGTTCTGATAAGCGGTTCTCGAGATTTCGAGGAATTTAGGCAACGCTCGGGGTGCACTACTATTAGAGAGGCATGTTTGTTTTGAAGGAATTTTTTTTTTTTTTTTTTTTTTTTTTTTTTTTTATTTTTTTTTTTTTTTTTATTCCTTAAATTATTTTGTTTATTTATTTTAAAAAATTAAATTTTAAAATTAAAAGGAGGTAGAGGGGGTGGGGGTGGGGGGGTTTGTTTTTTTTTTTTTTTTTGGGGGGGGGGGGGGGGGGGGGGGCAGGGGGGGGTGGTTCGTTTTCTTTTTTTTTTCTTTTGGGTTTTGGGGGGGGTTGGGGGGGGGGGGGGGGGGGGGGGGGGTTGGGGTTTTTTATAGGTTTTTGTTCTTCTTCTCCTTCTTCTCCTTTTTCCCCCCAAAAAAAAAGAGGGTTTTTGGGGGGGGGGGGGGGGGGGGGGGGGGGGGGTGGGGGGGGGTGGGGGGGGGGGGGGGGTGGGTTTTGGGGGGGGGGGGGGTGGGGGTGTTGTAGCGATAAATTCACCACTGGTAGCCCCAGTCGGTATTTTTTAAAGCAATCTCTAAAGCTTTTAAAGTCGATAATTTTAAAAGCAATTTGACTTTGTAAGGGATAGTTTTAAAGAAAAATTATCCTTCTTTCAGCTAAGTTATTGCAATTTTCTTTAAAGGAAAATAAAACTGGTTTAGAGGACAACAATAAATTGTGTAACCATTAAAATTTGAGACACTTTTTCTTTTTACAAGCTTTATTATAGAGAAAAATCGACTTATTATAGAGATTTATTATTTTAATTTATTATTTATTAGTTATTATAGAGAAAAATCTATAAATTTTAATCTAATAATAGAACTTTTCACCATTTTTCACCATTTGCAGAGCTCACCATTTTTCCAATCGGTGTCCCACTTCCCAATGAAAAGATTAAACCGATAACTTTCGTGAGGAATGTTCGGAATGTTAGATAATCTTTTAAAATCACTCCTCGAAGTATCGTTTTCATCTCGGGAACACCAGAGCCTGACTCAAGATTTGCTTTGGGTAAGGGTAAAGGCAGAAGTTGTCTTGAGCCCATTGAAAGTCCTGGCTTATAGGCCTGGGAAATCCCGATTCATGATCATCACCAACCGATAACTTGTGGTGCAAAATAGTGAGCAAGTGAAGACGATGTGACAACCATTAACGTAAAGAAAATAATCCAAATAGTGTACATTAGCATGAAATTCGTGCCAGTTGTTGCCTCGATGCTCAACTCGTGAACTGTAAATTGGGGATATTGGGTTGTCTATTTTGTATTGTGTGACCAGTGAATGAACTGTTTATCGTATTCAAATTTTCATTCTGACAAGGCGTTTATTGTCCTAAAGCCTAGAATTATTGGGTTTTCCAGTTATGGATGCGCGTATTTAATACTATTTTGTAAATTTCTCAAGATACCGAAATCAAGAAAAAGATTTATATGAGTATTATTCGAAAGCTGAAGATCTCCTTTACATTTTGATATAAAAAGTTTTTGAATTTGTTCAGCTTTTGGGCAAATTGACTGCACAGAAGAAGAGGTGGCCAAAAACGTTTAATTTGCGTCGCTTTTCCGTTCCATTCCTCTTTACATTTAATTTGCGTCGCTTTTCCGTTCCATTCCTCTTTACATTTAATTTGCGTCGCTTTTCCGTTCCATTCCTCTTTACATTTAATTTGCGTCGCTTTTCCGTTCCATTCCTCTTTACATTTAATTTGCGTCGCTTTTCCGTTCCATTCCTCTTTACATTTAATTTGCGTCGCTTTTCCGTTCCATTCCTCTTTACATTTAATTTGCGTCGCTTTTCCGTTCCATTCCTCTTTACATTTAATTTGCGTCGCTTTTCCGTTCCATTCCTCTTTACATTTAATTTGCGTCGCTTTTCCGTTCCATTCCTCTTTACATTTAATTTGCGTCGCTTTTCCGTTCCATTCCTCTTTACATTTAATTTGCGTCGCTTTTCCGTTCCATTCCTCTTTACATTTAATTTGCGTCGCTTTTCCGTTCCATTCCTCTTTACATTTAATTTGCGTCGCTTTTCCGTTCCATTCCTCTTTACATTTAATTTGCGTCGCTTTTTCGTCTCATTCTCTCCCCCAAATTTCTTTTTTTTTAGTTTTTCGGCAGAAGTTGTGTGTGTGTGTGTGTGTGTTGTCTCACCCTTTTGGGTCGAAAGTTTTGCCCTCGTTCTTTCGTCATTTGATGTTTTTCTTCACGCGCACGCTGTTTTTGTAATGGGTATCGTTGCCTTTCTTTACTGCCTTTGGATCAAGTTTTGACTCCGCTCAAATTGAGTTAACCGTTTGATGTTTGGCCAATAGATATATCAATACAACTTTTTTGTTTAAATATAACAATTTCAGAGCATTTTTACTTTTCTTTTCTTTTCTGGGCGGTTATTTTACATTATAAAACTTGAGAAATAGCTAAGCTGGAATAGGTTTTTTTTCGAAAATGACCTCTCCCTTTGTGCCGTCAATTTCCCAAAAAGCTGGACAAATTCAAAAACTTTTTTATTCCAAAATGTAGAGGAGATCTTCAGCTTTCGAATGATATATAACACTCATATATATCTCTCCGATATCTTGAGAAATTTACAAAATAGTAAAAACACGCATTCATAACTGGACAACCCAATAGAAAGGCGTTTAGAGCCCGCTGATTGAACTCAATCAAAACAGCGAACTTTCGTTAAGTTAAAGTACAGTTTTTTTGTGTTGAAGTTAAAAGTAAAGTCGAGATACTTTGCTGAAACCACATGACGATTGTATCGGTGGTGGCTGAGAGCAGAGCGGTCAGCACTCCGAGTACTGCCAAGAAAATCCAATCCGATAAAATCATTCGCAAAACACTTGGTTGTTCATCTAAAAGTTTGCTTATTTTTTTTGTATAAAAGAAAGTAAAGAAAATATTATTTTAGTAAAGAAAATTTTCAAAAAAAGTACCTTCAGAGTCTTCATCGTAATCTTGACTTTCTTGAGCATCTTGAGCTTTTTCTGACATTATTAATGTTCAATTAATGTCAATAAAAAAGGCAACAGGAATTTTCTTTTTTTAAATTGATGTCGTTTTTAGCAAAAATAAGCTATAAGCTGAGTTGAAATCAAAAAAAAATCAGTTCGTTTCGTGTCTTTTTTTTTCACTGTCTGCGTTGCACTGTCTTTCTGTTTTTCGAATAAAATTTTATGCAAATTTTCTTTCTTTTTTCCTTTTTTCAACAGTTAAAATATAGAACGGGGGTTTTGAAATGAAAAAGTTCAATTTGAAGGCAATTTTGAAAGCAAAAAACAAGGCAAAAAGCTTTGTTATCGTAAGATTTTATTCAGAAAATTGCTGTTGCCTTTTTTATTGACATTAATTGAACATTAATAATGTCAGAAAAAAACTCAAGATGCTCAAGAAACTCAAGATTACGATGAAGACTCTGAAGGTACTTTTTTTGAAAATTTTCTTTACTTCCTTTTAAACAAAAAAAAAACAATGCAAAAAGCTTTGTTATCGTAAGATTTTATTCAGAAAATCTCTTTTTTTTCGATTAACTTTTAAGCTAAGATTTTGAATTAAAAAAAACTTAACAGAGCTTTAAAGAATTCTTTTTAGAGATACTTCTGAGTTTAGAAGTATTTTAGAAACACTTCTAAATTATACTTTTGTTTAATAAATAGATAATTAGTGCTTTTCCGGCCGAAACCTTTCCGTTCAACGGCTAGCAGAAACGATTGAACTTTCACAGCATCCAGTGGGCCAAATTCTTGGACCTTGGCCTCAGAATCTAGCGTTTATTCTTGGCTACATCCTGGTACAAATCATTTTTTGATTTACTTTTAAGTCTTAACTTTGTGCACTCCGAAAAATAGCGCAAAAGTTGCGAATTTCTCGCTATCTTTCGAAGCAATACAAATTCGCTTATGTTTATAAAACTGCGCATTTTTTGTGACTAGAATCTAAGTAAATTAGAAAATATTTCTACCAAGACTTAGCCAAAGCACTTGCTTTACATTTTAATATAAAATTCAAGCAATTTGCCTCACTAGATGCTACGAAGTCACTCAACGCGAGTTTCTTGGTCTATTTAGTGAAATGTTATCAATAAAAGAAAGTGAAATGCTTTTATACATTAAAATACATATTTTTATATCTCTAATCTGCCGCTTTTTTTTACAAATGAATCTCTCGAGAGTGATCTGATCGGAGGGACTGTTGTGAAACCACACTGCTTTGCAGTCTGGCTCCCACACTGCTTTGCAGTCTGGCTCCCACACTGCTTTGCACGACTGATGACGCAACGCCAATCTAAAACGCAATTTAATAAAAGTTTCTTAAATTTAAGATACGTAAGCATATATAGTTCAAATTCAAACTTACTTACACTCCAAAAAGCCGTTCGATGTCGTGGCGCAAAGCCGGGATTGAAATCGACGGGCATTCCATCAGTCCAAAGATTTTTCGAGTGAATGCCAATTCAGATCGACTCAGACCGATCAAATTTCCAGATTTCCATTTCTTTTTCACAAATATTGTCTTTTATAAGAACTGCAAATTTGAAATGCTTAAATGAATTCTGTTAAATTGTATGTCTTTTCACTCATACACCGTAAAGAAATTGCTCCTGGTCGTACGAATGAATGGAGACCAAATGTGCATTGATCGATCGACACTTGTTCTTGGCTACACTTCTTGACTACCAAATGTGCATTGATCGATCGACACTTGTTCTTGGCTACACTTCTTGACTACCAAATGTGCATTCATCGATCGACACTTGTTTTTGGCTACACTCCAAGTGTTTTTGTGTTACTAACTTGTTGGACTTTTGAGTTACATTTATTCAAATAAAGTAATTTAATACTCTGAAAATCATTTCGAATAACTTCGAAAATCAATAACTTGAAAGAAAATCTTGCTGAATCAAAAAGCATAATCCGATCATGAAAAAGATCCAGCAATTGCTTCCGGCTGTTGCATGATTCTAAAACGAACTGCATGAGTGATTTTTCTAGATAAAGTCATCAAAAAAGTCTTGATCCATTGTGTCCCAAATGATTTGACCGTTTCAGACAAAAAATTTTTGGTGAATAATCTAGCCAATGTGCATTAGTTTTCGAATTAAGCAACTATTTTTATTTCTATTCATTTTAGCACAAGAAACTTTTTCTTGCAAAAAAGTCTTGATTCATTGGCTTATTGTTATGTTTTTGATACATGGTTCTGATTTTTCTGAATTAATTTATTTTTAGATGGCGTCCGAGCGATATCTGGATACTCTGACAAAGGAGAATATTGCAGGGAACAAAATTCAACAAGGGACCAAAATGGAAAGTCTCCTCCGTTTAGCGAAAACCGTTTCTCAACTTTGTAAACGCCAAAAATTGGAAGGAGAAGTGCACCGACATGCGAAAAAGGGTTGACCACCAAAAACAAGAACAAGGGAGGATCGTGCATTGATCAGGGATGGTCGTGAAGGACCCAAACAGGACGGGCTCTGATGGAGTCAAGATGCTTCAGGCGTGCTTCATTAACATTAACTTCGAAGCTTCAGGCGTGCTTCGGAGTTAATGTAATGAGACGAACGAATCGGAATCGCATCACGATTATTTGCCTGCCGACCAGCAAGAAAGCCTTTGATGGTTTTGAAGCATCGACTGACGATTGCGACTGACTTTCGCAAAGAGGTACATACATTGAACGGTAGACGATTGGAAGAGGGTTCTTTGGAGTGATGAGATAGAGATCAACATGTTGAACCCGGATGGTGGTCAAATGATTCTACGGCCTATTGGAACACGTATCTTCGTCCTACGGGACAAGGACAAGGATGGTTATTCATGCAAGATGGAGACCCGAGGCACACAAGCCAGCTGATGATGGGACGGTGACTGCAGATTCGGAGATGTTTTTTTGTAAGGATGTCGGGCTGGTTTCGTCAACATGGAGTGAAATTACTTTGAGCACCTCCCTAAATTATTAGAACACGCTACAAATTCAAGTATCTTCGTCCTACGGTCAAATTCAATGGTGGTGGAATCGTGACTTGGCGTTTGTCCACTTTTTACTAGCATCTACCTAATTGTGCTTGTGTTCAGGTTGCATGTCGGCATCCGACGTTGGTCCGCTGGTTTAGATAGACGGAATCATGGATGCCCACAAGTACAAGGTCATACTGGGCACTCACGTGCTACCTCATGCACGAGCCAAAATAGGACAAGGATGGTTATCCATGCAAGATGGAGACCCGAAGCACACAAGTCAGCTGATGATGGGACGGCGACTGCAGATTTGGAGAGGATTTTTTGTAAGGATGCCGGGCTGATTTTGTCAAAATGGAGTGGAATTACTTTGAGCACCTTCCTACATTGAACACTTGCGAAAATTGAAAAGACATGAGGTGAGGACCCAAAGCACACAAGCCAGCTGATGATGGGACGGCGACTGCAGATTTGGAGAGGATTTTTTGTAAGGATGCCGGGCTGATTTTGTCAAAATGGAGTGGAATTACTTCGAACACCTCTCTACAGCCCCGACATCAACCCCATTGAACACTTGTGATCGATTGCAAAGCGAAAATTGAAAACACAGAAGTTTCGTAATAAGGCTAAACTATGGGCTCAAGTGGAACAAGTATGGATGACGATTTCTCAACAAGTGTTGCTCAAATTGGTCTCATCGATTCCTAGAAGACTTTAGAAGATCCTTTCAGCTAAAGGAGCCGCTACAAATTATTAAAATATTTGCCAAAAAGTTTTTATTTCATTTCAGAGACAATGGGCCTTTTTGATGACTGTAATTTTCATTAATCTATAGGAAAATTTTCCGTTCCAACCCCATTGCACTTTGTCGAATTGCAACAAGCAACGTTCACATTGTATTTCAATCCTTCACCGGGAAATGTCACGTTATCCGAATAAAAGGAATCGATTGTCTGAAAGTTTCATGTTTCTTTTTTGCTTCTTAATCTTGTTTACCTCACACTCCATGCAACACTTAGCCCAATCACCATTCAAAATTTGTAAACTTGCACACATCGTTGTCACCCCGTCCGCATCACATTCACTCCAAGCCGTTGTTGGACCCTAGGAAAGAGAAATTTTGATAGAAAATCAACAAGACTATAAGCGAATTTATTGATATTTTTATTATATATTGTATAATATTAGGTTGTTCGGATGTTGGACAAGGATATAAACAAGCGTTACTAAACTTATTGTTGTGAGGGAAGCTTTTAAAACATGTCTTTCTGTATTTAAAAAGTACGTTATCTTGTGTATATTTGGAATCTTTTTAAACGGATAATTTCTTATTTTTAAGATCTTTTTTCTTGCTTTAGATGACCGACTTTAAATATATCAAGTTCGCGTCTGCCTAGGATCATGAACACTCTCGTCTGCCTACTTTACGATTTCAAACTGGGCAAAACTCGAATCCCATCGAGATTTGGTCAAAGCATTTGGGAAGAATGTATTGTTAAATAGTAATCAAGAGGGGCGAGGTCCGGACTGTATGGGGAATGCGCCAAAAGTTCCCCAAACAAGGCTATTTATTTTAGAGCTAGTCAGTTTTGCAACATGAGGGCGCGCGTTGTCGTGGATGAGAACGATCTTTGACTTGAAGGACCTATTCTTCTTCAGGGATTCATTCACCTTTCCCAACTGTTCACTGTATTTGATTGCATTAACGGTCGTCTTGCTATCCAGCAACTCCCAGTACACCACTCCCTCCATATCCCAGAAAACGCAAGGCATAGAGCGGATATAAACAAGCGTTGCTAAACTTATTGTTGTGAGAGAAGCTTTTCAAACATGTCTTTCTGTATTTAAAAGTACGTTATCTTGTTTTGTTTTGTTCGAAAGCCGATGCCGAGCCTGGCTCCAACGCTTTCGCAATGGTGATGAAAGTCTCGAGGATCATGAACACTCTCGTCAAGAATATCGTTGTCGACCTCAAGCGGTAGACAACGATATTTTGAGGGCTACAATCGAATCGGATCCATGTCAAACGACGCGTGAACTTGCTCAACAGTTTCTATCTTCAATCGCTCTATCTTCTACCATTGATGATCATCTCCACGCCATTGGAAAGGCGATACGGGAAATGGCTTCCGTCACGAGTTAAGCGGTGCAAACGCTCGTTTATATCCGAATAACCTAATATTTAATAAATTGCTTTCAAACTATACATTTTTATAGCTATTTATAGCTAAATGACAATCTTGTAGGTACTTTTAGAATTCAGCTAATCAATGAAAATTTCTTGTAGAGTTTTTTCTTTAAAATTTTAAAATAACTGATTAGCTAAAAGTGTTAACATAGCTTTTGTTCAATTTTTCACCTTATAAAGACATTTGTACGATTGAGTAATAGAATTTGATAGAAAAATGTAAAGAATAATGATAGCTGATTTGTTTTTTCCATAAATATCCCTCCAAGAAATGTTCATAAGATAAAACTTTTTCGAAAGAATTAGAATCGATGACTGTCTAGTGAATCTAGTGAAGTGAACAAAGTGAATGTCTTCTTAGTTAATAGATTCCCAAAGGATTTCAGCATTAGAAACGAGGAAACGTACAATTTGTCTTTTAGAAAAGTCGAGAAACAACGAATGACGAATGAAGATTTTTGAAGAAGTAAGTTTTTGTTATTTTTGCATTTGAAAAGTATTCTGTATGAATATTCAAAGATTTGACATGATGATTTAATGAAAAAGTCTTGAAAGGAAATTTATTTTATTGATAGGACTCTGGGTTGTCTAAAAATTCAATAGTTGATTATCCGGATGCATTGAGGAGGTAAAGTTTCTTCACGGTATTGCATGGAGAAGTGATTGGACAGGTTGAACATGTGCTTGATGATCTAATGATCCAATGATTCAATGATCCAATGATTCAATGATCCAATGATTCAATGATCCAATGATTCAATGATCCAATGATTCAATGATCCAAGGTCGACAGTACCATGATTGTGTCTAGCCAGTTCTGTCGTTCATGCAATGATCCAATGATCCAATGATTCAATGATCCAATGATTCAATGCTCATGAGCTTGATGATCTAATGATCCAATGATCCAATGATCCAATGATTCAATGATCATGTGCTTGATGTTCTAATGATCCAAAGATCATGTGCTTGATGATCTAATGATCCAAAAGGACATCCATCCAAGCTCAACAATCCCCTATCAATCACTGAGATTCAAAAGAATCACAGGGCGTCTTTAAGTGAACTTGGTGAAGCAGAGAGTTAATTGCGTAGAAGTTCAGAGACACCCAAATGAACTTGGTTACAAATCAAAACTTGGAGATTGTGTCCCCGATGATTAGTCAAATGGCAAGAGGCAAAACGAGACAAAAATGGCAAAGGATTTCGATTTGTGCCGCTTACCTCCCTAGAAAAGAAGCTTATTCCCATTCATTTTCCATTCTTCATTCCCATTCACTCACCTTGTCACAGGAGATGAAAAGTGCATGCTGACCTAACATTGATAATGAGCAGGGTTTTTTTGAAAGTTCCTTCCATAACTCACTGATAAGGCTTGACTCTACCTTGTTAATGACCGAAAGAGCTCGTGAAAACTTCAGCTCTTACCGAAGTTAGGCCACTAAAGAGCCCATACTAGATGCTGTTTTACACTGAAAAGATTTCAAACGATCCTGTCACTAACGAAATTTTCAGCACCGATTTTCCAGTCGAGCCATAACTAATAAATACAAAAAGAACGCTAAAATTGATGAAAAGAGAAAAATATTCGCATTATACAAATAAGTTTTTGACACATTGCCGAAAGTTTTACTTGTGAAAAGTAAAGCATTAGTTCTTTTGCTGAATAAAAACAAGTGATTGTGCGCCCGTTAGAACTATTTGCTGCCTTTTGTGATTATTTTGAAGTGTTTATTGTTTAATAATAATACTTTATTCAAACGATAAAGTGAAAGAAATCATAGAGAAATGCACAGTGATACTTAATCATACAATACATACTGAAATCAATAAGCCAATTACTTACGGCAAAGAGCCACTAGATCTAAAGCATCGATACGTTTCTTGAATATGAAAAGCGAATTTTTTTGAAAAGTTTATGCATAAAAACCTTTCAAAGAACAAAAACGGTTGAGATTTCTTTCTCACAACGAAACGCCGGATCGTCGGTTAGAGGAGGCTCGTCGTCGAATCGTTTCTCGCTTGCGGCTTTCTGAAATTTTAGGGTTAAATTTTAGGATCTAAAATCTAAAGCTAAATCTACACTACCTGATTGTTATATTTGATGAGTCTGTACACTTTCTGTCCGAGTTTTTCGATTTGACAGAGTTCACCGAGCTCATTCAATGTGCATCTCATGTTATCGGCATGCTTGCTGAAAAAAAGCAGATTTACTATCTTAACTATGTTTTCTAATAGTTAGATAAAGTTCTTTATATTGGATCACCTGCATTCGGCATCGTTGGCCGGTTTTTGGCCGCATTTCTTTAAAGCTTTTAGCTGCAACTCTTCACTGAAGCAACGATCGAGAACGCTTGCTAAAAGAAGAGCTTTAAACTTTAGAGCTTTAAAGTTTTTTATTAGATTAAAAGTGCATCATTAAATTCAGTAATTGAGTAGATTAAAGAGCGCAAAAGAATGCAAAGATAAACAACTCTGAGAAAATTCTGAAGTTAAGAAAAGTCTATTAAAATCTTTGAAATCTTCTTTGCAAACTTGTCTTCTTTGCATTTCAGCTTAAAGTGAAAGTCTATTTTTAAGTAATTCGCATAAAAAACTCATTTTTACGTGGTGCTTGTGAAATTTTGAAAAGAAATTCGAGAAACAAACCCTCTTTGCTGGCCTTCACGTAGGCACCAGTGCAAACGACATCGTTAACATAATCGACCCTCAACAATTCGATCTTATTGAGTTGTCCTTCTTTCTTTGCCTTATCAGTATTCACTCGAAAAGAACTAAATTAATTTTTGAAAAGAAATCTTTTTTTGCTAACAAACTCGCATTCGTTCATCTCATGAAAATCGTAAACGTCGACTTTCTCGGCGATGCCTGGAAAAATTTTTGAACTGATTTGAACTGCTCGGCTTTGATTTGAACTGATTTGAACTGTTTGGCTTTGATTTGAACTGATTTGAACTGCTCGGCTTTGATTTGAACTGATTTGAACTGTTCGGCTTTACTTTGAACTGATTTGAACTGCTCGGCTTTAATTTGAACTGATTTGAACCGTTCTGCTTTAATTTGAACTGATTTGAACTGTTCGGCTTTACTTTTAACTGATTTAGACTGTTTTGCTTTACTTTTAACTGATTTAGACTGTTTTGCTTTAATTTGAGCTGATTTGAACTGTTCGGCTTTACTTTGAACAGTTTATCGTTTAAATTTTCTAACTCGTAAGTTCGTAAGTTCATTCAAATACACTATTTGGTTAATTGAAAGTGTTTAGAAGTATAAAACATATAAAAACACGCTTTGGAATGCTTTAAAATCGAATGGAGGGCAAGTAGAGGTTTGCTCCAGCGCGATTCTTGGCTTAGCACACTGCGTTAAGCAGCAAAGCGTTCATTTAACTTCATAACTTTTAAATTTAGAAGCTTCGCCAGGTAAATAACAAGTCTGACACTTTGAAAATGAACAACTCGACTTGTAAACTTCTAACTTTCTAAACTTTTGAACACTTTACCTTTTAAGATTCCCTTAAAATTTGGCTCTTCAACTTTATCGTAAAGTTTTTGTTACCTTGTTGAGTGAAAAAGATAGAGCAGAAAAATAAAATGTGTAAAATCATCAGAAATACTCAAAGTGTTTGATGAAAGTTTACAAAAATCTCTTTGTCGATGACAATTTCACTAATATCTTTCGTTTTATTTTCGTTTTTCAAGGCTGTTCCTATTTTGACCGTGATCAATAACTCACTTGGAACCAATTTGATCACCTTATCTCTCAACGCGTCGATTTTTTTGATTACTATTTGAGAGAAATGTTTATATTTATGTCTATTTTGTATAATGCTGGTCATCCGGTATTCAGTCTAGATTAGGGTATTCGGTCTAGTTTAAGGTATTTAGTTAAAATTAGCTGGATTACGGTAATCAGCCTAGATTAGGATTTTCATTCCAGATTAGGGTTATCAGTCTAGATTAACGTATTCAGTTAAGATTAGCTGGATTACGGTAGTCAGTCTAGATTAGGATATTCAGTCCAGATTAGGGTATTCAGTCTAGTTTAAGGTATTCAGTGGAGATTAGATGGATTACGGGATTCAGTCTCGATTAGGGGTGTCAGTCTAGATGTCTAGATGAAAACATGAGAATCTCTTGTTAAACCTAGCCACAGACAGTCTTGCCCCTAACTAGAGAAGGTCGCAAACTTAACTTTGTTTATCTTCAGCACTTTAGAGCACTACTTTTCAAAGCCGCTTTTCTCTACGTTCTTACAGGTGAGTGTACAAAATAAATAGCACTCTTCTTTAGTCAAATTTAATGAAGATTCTTTTAAAACCAACCACAAGTCGATTCAATGTCTGCACCTCGATTTATAGACCATCCAAGTTGGTCAACTTTTGCAAGTAAGTAGGTCAACTTTGACACAAATTTTCTCTATGTTCTTACACATGAGTATACAAAATAAATTGTACTTTTCTATAACCAAATTTTATGATGATTCTTTTAAAACCAATTGTAAGTCGATCCAATCGCTGGAACTGGAGATATAGAGTAAAATAGAAAAATAGAATAGAAATTTATGTTTCGAATAATGATTCGAAACACAAATTGAATGTGAAGAGAAAAATCGAAGAGCCTTTCGATTCTGTTATTAAAAAATTGCGTTTTTTCGGATCTCTTTAGTGTCTTTAGGGAAATTTTTACAAAGTCAACGTGTGAATTTGCGAATTTTCAAGGATTTCTTGAAGAATTTATTGATTGTATTCAGAAAAACTGTCGCATCGAAGCGTTTTCGTCAGCAATGTTCAGGCTCTCTTCGAACTTTTCTCGAGAAATCTAAACGTTTAATGTGCGCTTTTTCAATGGCCATTCTTACTTACAATAACTTTACTTTACTTCTATTATATTGGGTTGATGGAAAAGTCCTTTCCGATTTGGGAGAGTGACTTAAATTTGTCCCATTCTGACGTTTTAGCTCATCTAGCTCCAAGAACAACTCCAAGAAATTATAGCTCATCCTAAAGCTGAATCCAAGACGGATCGATTGGTAAAAACCGTTTTGAGATATCTCTTTTCTAAAAGTTTTTACAACTGTTTTAGTAAAGGGCGGCAGAGCCAAAAAATGGCTGTTTTCACGTTTCGTTAGTTTTCCGTGCAGAAACCTAGGCCAAAAACATGTTTTTCGTGATCAGCGTCCAAAATAACCCCTAGACACGCATTTTCAGAATCTTAGCAAAAAATTGTGCACGTTTCTGCACGGAAAACTAACGAAACGTGAAAACACCAATTTTTTTGGCTCTGCCGCCCTTTACTAAAATAGCTGTAAAAACTTTTAGAAAAGAGATATCTCAAAACGGTTTTTACCAATCGATCCGTCTTGAATTCAGCTTTAGGATGAGCTATAAAACGTCAAAATTCGACAAATTTAAGGTACTCTCCCAAAAAATCGGAAAGGACTTTTCCACCAACCCAATACTTTAGACTTTTAGTTTCACTTTTAGTTTCGCGTTTGCTTACACTCTACTCGATTACCTTCAATAAAAGTTCCTCTCGATTCGACCACGAGTGAATGTCGATGAAAAGAAGATAGACAGCGCCGCCTACGAAACCGCCAATCAGCGGCCCCACAATCGGCACCCACCACCAGTGATCGTAGGATCTTCAAAAGAAGAAAAACTTGAAAGCGGAATGCAATTGTTCATTGCCCCTTTTTCCTTTTTGATACGAAAGCCATTTTTACAAATGATAAAGGTTCTATATAGCGGCTTTCCTCTACAGGGTGCCCCATAATTGTCGCAACAAGATAAAGTTCTAAGGCAGACAAGAGCAAAAAAAGACAAATTTTTAACTGAATAACATTTATTATACGTTAAGAATTATAAATCAACTATAAAATTCGAATCGGTCACCATTAGCATTTGAGCAGGCGTTTCGAGAAGGCGTCAACAGTGAAACACGGTGGTGACCAAATAGACTGGATCGAATTCTTCCCACACTTTCAACAGTGATTTCTTCAAGCTTTTTGATGTTTTTGTGGGGCTTTGGACAAGCTTTGGCTTCTAGAACCGAGAATTCCATTGGGTTGAGGTCTAGAGAGCTAGGTGGTCACTCAGAAAAAGAGATGAAGTCGAGTTGTTTTGGCAGAACTCTTGGACTTTCTTGAATTTGTGAGCCGGTGCCCCATTTTGCTGATAAATCCAAATGCGATTTTCAAAACATTTACAAGCCCATGGCAAGGGTTCATTCTTGAGACGAGCCAAGTAGTTATCGAAGTAGAAACCTTGTTGTCCTTGTTGACACTTTGCTTGCGACACTTTGTTGCGACAATTATGGCGCACCCTGTATACAATTTTCAACTCTAGGTTAATACACAAAAAAAAATCTCCTATTCCTTTAAAGTTTCTGAATTCGACTTTAGTCATAGAAATGGAAATTCTGATTTGACTCATCTCTTCATTGAAGAATTTTTCAGAAACAACAAAAAACTAGTGAGCCATTGCTCGCCTGGGTGAGCCTCCATAAACAATTTGCTTGTAGGGTTTCTGGCCATGCAAATTGACAAATTGAGAATGCGAAGATGCAAATTGAATTGATTTTCAATCTAAAACGATTGAAGGACTCACGTGAAAGCGGCTTCCCCATAGATGAGCCAAGCGAAGATCCTCGCCCCGAAATCCCTCCCCGGATTGATCGGATAGCTCGCGTTCTTCCCGAACGACAATCCGATCATGATCACCTGAAATTTGCATATCTATTAGGTTGGCAACTTAATAATGACGCGTCACTACTTAACGTGTTTTTTGTAATTTCAAGCGCCGTTTCTTCCCTCTTTTTTTGCATGTATGTCGTAGCCGATTATGAATGAAATTTTTTGGCAAATCTTTCCAGTAGAGCAACCCTTTAATGTATGAGGACAATATTATATCATCTTGTAGCGAATTCAATTCTGCGTCGATTGGTACCAAATTTTATGAGTTTAGGTTAAAAATTGCCGGCGCTACAACGTTTCATTCAAAATCGGCGGGACCCCCGTAGCCGATTATGAATGAGTGGGTCTAGGAGCGTCCAACCATAAATTATTTAGTATCATTCAACGCAGAATCATTAATAATTATGTTAAATTTTTTAAATTAGAAAGATTGAATAAAAAGAAAAAAAATTAGAGCAAAAAAACTGTTTGTTCAAGAGAAAACTTTGAAGCCCTATAATTTTTTTTCTTTTTATTCAATCTTTCTAATTTAAAAAATTTAACATAACTATTAATGATTCTGCGTTGAATGATACTAAATACTTTATGGTTGGACGCTCCTAGGCCCACTCATTCATAATCGGCTACGACATATATAAAAAGTATGGGAAGAAGATCATGCTCTGTTGCTGGTGGAACTTCAAGGGATTAGTGCATTGTGCTGAAACCTGAAGCTGAAGTACTGAAACCTGGTCAAACCGTCGATGCTGATCTTTATTCGAAGCAATTAATGAGAAATTAATGAGAGTTAACGAGTCTTTGAAGAAATTGGGGCTCAAACCGGAGAGAGTCAGATTTTTCACAACACAAAAACTCACACTGCAAAGATCACTTATAAGAAAATCGAGGAACTTGGCTGAAAAGTGCTGCCCCACGCACCTTACTCTCCCGACTTGGCTCCTTCAGATTACTTTTTGTTTCGGTCGCTGAAGCACTTTTTGGAGGGCTTCAGCGATCACTTAGAAGAAAATCGAGGAACGTCATTATTAAGTTGCCAACCTAATATATCAATTAGAATAATTCAATTCACCGTTAGACCCCCAAAAATCGGATGCAGCCACTTGTTGATCCCATTTCTTTTGTCCAACATCGCCGCCATCGTGGCCGTGAGAATCGCGGTGGCAATTGTCTGAACTTTTCAAAGTATTCAGCTCAATTTAATCATTAAATATATTTCTACGATTATCTATTAGAAAAAGATTAAGATTAAGAAATAAAAAGATCTGTTCATTAGTTTTTTTTTCGAATTTTAACAATTTTGTCAGAAAAACAAAGTCCAACTTTTTCACTCAAAAAATAGCGAAAATTTGAAATGAAATTTGATCTCTAGGAGAGTAAAATGAAAACGGAAAGCTTTAATTAATGTAATAATGTAGATGAGTAGCTTTTTTCTTTTCAATGACCTGATCAAAAATTCCGCCCAAATGTGTTGTGTAGGAGGCTGGACAAGTCACCAACATGCAAAGAGTTCCCGTCGATCCTTCGGCCACCCGTTTTCCGCCATCGAAATCATTCAGAGCCTCTAAAGTATTTTAAAGAAATCATTTTAAATCAATTATAGTATAAGAAAGAAGTTTTAGATGGTTTAGACGTGTTTTAGATGATAATTTCATTCCAAGCATCGAACTTGAGAACTTTTTGCATAACAACGCTTTCCAACTCGTCATTCAACAACTTTTTACATTTGATTCATCTTTCTATTCAAATTTTTAGACTTAAACTTTGTTTAGCCATACTTTATTTTGAATATATTGATCACTTTGATCACTTTGATCACTTTGATCATTTTGACCATTTTGACCTCACCTCTGTAATCCCAATAGGCGAAAGCCGTTCCGACGAACGCGCCGAGAGTCTAAGTGTTAACAAATTAACGATCTTGTTCATAAATTTCAATTTCTTCTTCTATTTTTTTGTTTAATTACGTGATTCAGTTTTATATACAAATTAAATGATTTTGAGGCTCACTTGAGCGACACTAAACGCGATGGCCTTTTGTAGGGATAAACGTCCCAAAAACCACTGACACAAAGAGACTGACGGGTTGATGTGACCTCCTGAATATGCTAATTAACTAATTGTATATGCTAATTAACTAATTGTATATGCTAATTAACTAATTGTATATGCTAATTCACCAATAACATTTTTAAAGGTTTTCACGCAAAACTAGTTTTTACACTCGAATTTACTTGGAAACAAACCAAATTTTGTTTAGTAGTAAATTTTGGTAGGAAAATGCGCAATAAACATTTTCTATTTAAAACAAACTGTAGGAAAATTGGTGAGTTTATCATTTCTAAATGAAAGTACAGTCGACTCTCTCTATAACGAAAAGCTCTATGTAACCGAAAACTCTCTATAACGGAATGGAATTTTGGTCCCGGCCAACGCTAAGCTATATAAAACGGCGCGCTATATAACGGAAAGCTCTATATAACGGCAAGCTCCATATAATGGCAAGCTCTATATAATGGAAAGCTCTATATAATGCAAAGCTCTATATAATAGAAACATCTTTGGTCCCTTTCCATAGAGAGAGTCGACTGTACGAAAAAAGGCGAAAAGATTTGTTTCCCAAACTGTTAATTGCTTATGCTTGGGATAACTTGTAAATCCGATAAGGCTTTAACTGTCAAGCGTGTCATTCAACAGAAATTAAAAAAAGACTACAGTGAGTTATCAAGGAAAACTTTGCTTTTTTTTCCCTTTTGCTTGTGGAATTCCTAAAAAGTTTACCCGATAGCCAAATGCCGATTCCACAAGAAAACGCCACAGAGAGTCCCCAGCCGAGGTTGATCGAGAGGAAACCGCCCAACTCTCCGTTTGATGTCTTCACTTGGATCACACAACCGACACCGATCAACTCAAATCGTGCTTTAATGGTTGAAAATTTAAAGATAGCTTGTGGGAAATTGGAAAATCATAGAAAGCTTTTGCCGCTTTTGATGCTTTTGCCAATAAAAAGTCGCTAGTTTTCAAGAAGTTTTGAACTTTAACTTTGAAGTTTAACTTTGAAGTTTAACTTTGAGCTTTAACTTTGAGCTTTAACTTTGAAGTTTAACTTTGAGCTTTAACTTTGAAGTTTAACTTTGAAGTTTAACTTTGAAGTTTAACTTTGAAGTTTAACTTTGAGCTTTAACTTTGAAGTTTAACTTTGAAGTTTAACTTTGAAGTTTAACTTTGAAGTTTAACTTTGAAGTTTAACTTTGAGCTTTAACTTTGAGCTTTAACTTTGAACTTTAACTTTGAATTTTAAAATTTTCGCTTTAGATTGAAATGAGACAAAGCTAGATCTTGTAATTCTTGTTAAGTTTTGTAATTTTGTAATTTCGATGGCTGATTTCTGACAATCAACCATCGAAACAAGATCGGACTCACCAAGAAGAAGAAAGTGCAAATGAATTCACACAAACATTCCCTCAAAAATCCACACCGTATCCTCAGCAAATCCGGGTAGAATCGTGACGAGCCGAACGCGAATCCATCAACGATCTCATGCTTTTCCATTTTTGAATTCTTTTCAAACCAAAAATAGAAAAGAATAGAAAAGAATAGAAAAGAATAAAAACGAAAAAAGCTCTTTTTTTTACGGAAAACTCTAATAAATTGCCACCGTTTTCTAGCCAAAATTTGATAAGAGAAAGCTGTAAATTTTGAGAGGAAATTCTGAGAGCAAGAGAGCAAATTTTTAAAATTCTCTTTTTCTCACGATTAAACAAAAGAAACTGAATAGAAATTCCCTAAATTTATCGATTTTAAAAATAAACTATAACTTCATTAAAGATAAAATCACTTTCTTTCAGCGTCTTTTCAGAAATGCTTTGAATAGGCTTTTTGTGTCTTAATTTTTTCTTAGCTCACAATTTCCATCGAACAATCCACAATTTCCATCGAACGATTCACAATCACTGGATCACCTTTCTTAAAAAAAGATTGTCTTATCATCTGTACAAACAACTTGTTTTGCGAGTTGTTTCGTGGCCTCAAAAGTCTGCAAAAAATCCTTGCGAAGACTCGTTGTTTAATGGTTCAAAGTGGTACTGAAAACCAGAGTTAAGCTAAAAAAGGCTTGAAAGTCCGACTTTTCCTTTTTGCCGGCCCAGGCCTTGGCTTGAATTTTCGATGGCATATGGCAAAAAGGTTCATTTTTCATCTTATTAAAGCGGGACGGCACTTTAGGGACAATTCTCGATAAAAATTACTATAATATACAGGGTTTTCCAAAACAAAAAACTCAGTTTAGCTTGATTTCTAGTATTTCTAGTGGCTTCTCGAGGTTGTTGTGGTGCTAGAGTGAATATTTTGGGCTGGCAAGTTTTCGATATTTTGTGACTTTTTCTCGATGTCTTGACTCCCCAATACATGGAAATTTCTGAGCCACCATGCTCACCACCACCATATGAGCCACCACCAAGCTCACCACTACCCATAAGAGCCACCACCATGCTCACCACCACCATGAGACTGTTGTTGCAAAAAAAGTGGATTACGGTATTTAGCGCATTTTAGTGCGCGAAAGTGTCAGTTTTAACATTAAAACATTAAAACATTAAAACTAACAAAAAATAAAACATTAAAACATTAAACAAACATTAAACAACTAAAACACTAAAATTAATGTTGCAAAAATTCAAAAAAGGAATCGCTCGGTGTTCCCTGTGCGCGAGCACAATCGCACTCGATCTGGCATAAAAGGTTTCCACATATAGTTCCCTTTTCACTCGTCCAATCGGAAGCGTCCATTTTGGGTCATCCGGTAACCAACCCGTTGTCTGCCCCATGTGGTCATCGCGTCCCAAAACTTAACCACGGCTGTAGAATTGGCAAACCCAATTCCGGCTCATATTGACCACAATGGTGGGTTCTCCGCCGGTCGAAATGGGATCCCAAGTGCCTGTAAAAGGGTGCTGAAGGGAGCCGCTGTGAATTTTTGGATTCATCCCAAGGATTTCGGTCCGCAGGGGCAGCAAAAAACTCATGAAACGACACTACAAGAAAAAAAATCCACTATGATCAAATTTAAAAAATATTTTCTGGTGGCTCAAGGTGGTAGGTTTCTTTCACGTGACCACGGCAAGGTTTGGACTTTAAAAATTGAACTAAACTTTCTCAATCTTTCAGAACTCTCTCATATAACTTCATCAAATCTTTTCCCTCAACTTTACGAGTTTTGATCAATTCATTTCATAAAAAGAAGTCGTTTCAACAAAATAAAAAACAAAACTTTTCATTGATTAAAGTTTCCCCGTGCAAACGCTCTATCCACATGTTTCAAAAAGTCAAATCAATTCACAGCACTTGTTTTTATCGTTAAACTTCATTTGAACATAAATTTAACCATTTTGTGGTTAAATATTTGCAGAAACATTAATCCCAGAGTTTTAATGCCATTCACAGCTCAGCTCTCCAAGCCAAACAGCTCTTCAAGCACAGATTTTTCACATTTCCGCATTCCACACAGCTCGTTGCTTCTAAACTCGAAGCAATTTTCAAAAGACTTATACATTTCTATAAGTTTCAACTCTAGCTTCATAGTACCTCAGCCTTCAGCCAAATTGTGAGCCGAATTGCCCAACGACCGGAACAATCTTCTTACTTATTATAGGAGAGAGAATGTCTGTGCCTGTCTGCTTGTCTGTCTGCTTGTCTGTTTACACGATTCTTTGTTTGTTAGGCTTAGAATCCTATGTAGTTGTGCATCTAATATTTTGTTTTTTAAAGCAAAAGTCACGACAAAGCCGGGAGTCGAACTCGGGTCGCATGGCCGTGGGCAAGCGTTTGTCCGTCCGTCCATCCGTCCGTCCGTCTTTGGGCCAAAAAACAACTGACATTTTTTAAAAGCTGAATCTCGCATACCTTCACTATGCCTAATATGCCTTTCTTTTGCCATTCTTTTTTAAAATATTTATCTCAAGAACTCAAAAAATTTTCTGAACTAAAGAAAAAACAAAAAAAAAGCATAAAAATTAGCTTTGGTCTATTGAATGATATGACGGAAATATTGAAAAAAGAAATTAAACAAAATTAAACAAAAATTGAACAAAAATTGAACAAAAATTGCACAAAATTTATGGGTTTTCTTATCAAAACAACCCGCCCGTTTGATGGGACATCGTTTTATGAGATTTCTTTATGTTAAAGCTTTAAAAAGTTTTCTATTATAGGTTTTCTTGGTGAATTTTGGTAATTTTGGTAATTTTGGGAATTTTGAACTCTCTACATATCACATGTCGATTCACCTGTAGATGAAAAAAAAACTAGAGAAAGGGATCAAATAAAAATGGAGTTGAGATTTGTGATGATAATGATTTGAGCACATCAATTTAAGACTCGTTCTTCTTCGTGCTGTACTTTGAGCTTTTGACTAAACGCATGGCAAACCACTTGAGTCATTGAGTCAGTGTAACTTTGAGCCGTCAGAAATTGTATGCTTCTCTTTAGCTCAAAAATACAATACAAAGAACGAGTCAAATCGGGTACAATAGTTGTAAAAGATGGCTTTTCAATGGCTAATCTTGATCAATCGATTGCATTAAAGGGGTTGTTGGGTTGGTTTGGCTGTAGATCGTTCCATTTATACAACCCGGCTGTTGTTGTCCGTTGTTATTGCTGAAGAGGTGACTGTCCGATGGAGAACTCACTGAAATATTCTAAAATAGAAATTGATTCGGTTCGTTTCCATTTTTGGTGATTTGAAATTCAAAAGTCAAGGCAAAAAGGCTAAAAAGGCTAAAAAAAACTCAAAACACCACCTTCTTCACGTTGTGTTTTGCTTTTTGAGTACTGTATCGCAAAAATGTACATTAAGAAGTTAGCTTTAGAAATTTCGAGTTAAACTCACCGATTGGGACGGATTGTGTGTTTGCGAAAGTGGTGGCGCCGGTTGCGATGCAATTCGTCGACGAGGTCACTGATGGAGTGTTCGGTGTTTGGCTACCGCCAGGCACATTCAGACGAGACAATGAGAAGCTCTGAAGTTCATGGGTGGTTTGGATTTGAGTTGATCAAGGCAAAGATTGCCTAAATGGCAACAAAGGCAGTTACTGGTTTGACTTTGTTGCCAACCGTGCAAGGCTTTGACTTACTTGACTTGACCTGACTTAGGGCTTTGAGTAGAAACTGATCAAGTCAGGAACTCAAGTACTCAAGTACTCAAGCCGGGCTAGGTCAAGCTCAAGCCGGGCTAGCTCAAGCTCAAACCAGTTTGGCTCAAGCTCAAGCCGGGCTAGCTCAAGCTCAAACCAGTCTAGCTCAAGTTCAAACCAGCTAGCCTCAAGCTCAAACCAGGCTAGCTCAAGCCGGGCTAGCTCAAGCTCAAACCAGTCTAGCTCAAGCTCAAACCAGTCTAGCTCAAGTTCAAGCCAAGTACCCAAGCCAGGCTTAACTGGTTTTGATCTGATCTGGCTTACTGGCTAGAGCTGGCTGGAAATCTTGGATAAGGACTTGGAGAAATTTAAGACTTAAATCACCCGTTGAACATTCTTTCATCCTGTCCAGACATTGAAATGAGACCAAAGTTTGCCCATGATATTTCGATCAAATCCCCACTCTTGCCTCAACAAAATCCGGGGAAATGCATTTTTGCACGATTCTAACTACCCATTAGCATAAAACATTATTTTCTTCAAACTTTTTGCAGTCAGACACTTCCCAAAATAGCCATCAAGTTTTTCGCTTTTGTTCCTCATGAACTTCCCCCAATCTTGATGTGTTCTATGAGTCCCAAGAGGCTTTCGGAAAACATTTCATAGCTTTACTCAATTGCAAAATAGCTGCAAGTATTTGAAAGAGGGTTTTGATCTTGAAGTTGGGTTTGTTTTTTTGTTTTCAAAGCATAATCTTCACTGTAGAAGCTAGGTGAGCTTTTGTAAGATTTAGAAATTGATTTACAAGTACGGTGGTCAGGTCAGGTCAGGTTAGGTCAGGTCAGGCTTTAAAGAGTCGATCGGAAAAGGTTTCTGATTCTGCAATTACCTTTTTATGTCTAGTATCATCTAGAAAACTTCTATATTAGCTATATTCTAGCTTATGCAACTCACCGGTGGGATCGAATTCGGTTGCGGAGTGCTCTGGTTCGAGTTCATCGCCGGCATCGTCTTGTGCCCGCCTTGTTGCAAGAGTGTGTTCTGCAGTTCGATGATTTTCTGCGTCAACAAGTCCACCTATAAATGGTTGAATCAATTTCTAAACCCTCGAAAACCTGAGTGATGAAATGATCCTGTGTCCGATGCATCTCCCAAAGTGTCTCGTGCATATCCGCATGCAATTTCCCCACATCTAATAAGCTGTTCCCTTTCTCTTGCAATTTCCGTTGATCCCATTTGATTCGCCGAAATTCGGTGATCGAATGCAAGAAGCTAGATTTGAATTTAATAAGTTGAAAACGATGAAATTGTCTACCGTCTTTGGTGGTGCCTCAAGCGCAACTCGTCGCCTTTATTTGTGGATTTTTTGTATTTGTGAATGAACCTGGAAATGAACAGAAATGAACCTGTGAATGATTATGGGATAAAGGTAAGATATTGAAATTATTTCTACAGTTCTACAGTTACAGTACCTTTTATTTGGATATTGTACTCAAAATTGCATTTCAGGACAACGACGAGGATATCGGGATCAAAATTGGAACGGTATTGGAACCGAATCTCTTGATCGGGAGGATATCGGGATCAAAATAGGAACCGTATTGGAACCGAATCTCTTGATCGGGAGGATATCGGGATCAAAATAGGAACGGTATTGGAACCGAATCTCTTGATCGGGAGGATATCGGGATCAAAATAGGAACCGTATTGGAGCCGAATCTCTTGATTGGGAGGATATCGGGATCAGTTTTATTAATGTAAGCCTTTTAAAAGCCTAATATATAAAGTCTTTGATTTTTGTTTACTAAAAAATCTTCTCAAAAAAACCAACCATGTCTCTTGTAGCACAGACGCGGCCGCATTTTTGCGTTGATTTGTGAGTTTGCTGTCAGCCATGAAGTTATTCACGTGTTTCTCCGCTCGACTCAACTCCAACTTTCGCGAAATGACGGCAATCAGCGCCGACGAGACACCGGCTCCCTAAATACTCACTATAGATTCACAAGAAGATCTGTGGGTGGCTACTTTCCGCAACTTGCCATAACCTTTGCCATAACTTTCTAATCTTTATGATTTTTACGTCATTTTGTTGCGCTTTTTAAGATCTACAAAATAAGATCAAAAACATGAACATTAACCGACTTAGAAGAAAGTTATGACGAGTTGAAAAAAATTTGACGCACGCAAAATAGCGCCCTAACATCTTCATCAGATAATTAGCTATAAAATTGTGTTCATCGTACAGTGCAGTACTGTACTATGAAATCGATTTAAACACTCCATTTGATCCCACATCAACTCACCACAATGCCAGTGGCAATCGAAAGAGTTCTCCCGCAATACGTGTTCGGCACAATGTCTCCATATCCGATCGACATGAATGTGACCATGATAAACCACATTGAGTTCATATAGTAATGCTCGGTGTTCAGCTTGTTGTCGTATCTAGAAATTGAAAGCAAGAATTCAGTTTTCACACCTTTACTACGATGAAAAACCTCTACGGTTAAGAAACTACGTACAGTACTGGACAATGAAATATGATATTTGAAAAACGATTGTCACTTTCGCGCGTCTGTAACTCCCTTGTCTTTGAGTTTAAACTATTAGTGTTATACATTTTCTGAAAGCTCTTTTCAAGAGCTATACAATGGTAATATTAATATTTCAGACAGGGTAAAGACAAGGGAGTTACAGACGCGCCAAAGTGGCGATCTTTTTTCAACTATGATATTTCAGGGAGTTACAGACGCGCCAAAGTGACGATCTTTTTTCAAATATCATATTACATTGTCCAGTAGTGTAGTTAGGGGGTCTTCCAGATGATTTGAGACGGATTTGTAGAAGTAGAAGGATTTGTATCCTGTAGAAGCACTTACTAGGGAACGGTCAGCTTTCGCAAACGCGAATCCGAACCAAAGCTATATGAGTTACGCAAGTCGCAAGTCAGTTTTTGCGAAAGAATGCAATCGAAGCTAAAGATACTCAAAACTACTCAAAATCAGAACTTTACTGCTCAAAATTTTTACAATTTACAAAGACATTTGCATTTTTCACAATTCTATTAGGGTTTTCGATAAGTTCTATGTTCTTGCAGTTCTTAAATTTTTGATTTTTCTGAAAAATCAGTTTCATCTGAAATTTCTAGTGAATAAACTATAAGTCCATGCTAATTAATAGAAAAAATTTGAGGACAATTGCTTTGGCTCAATCGAGAGAATGAAATATGACTGTTCAATCAAGAGACTTTCAATCAAGAGACTATTTTGAGGGCTAAAGAGAGAGAGAAAATCTTTTATCTTTTCGAAAATCTAATACACTACAGGCTTTTGTTCGTTTAAGTCAATGTTTAAGTCAAGTTTTAAAAATTAGACTTTAAAAAATGGTTATCGCTTTCACCTCTCACACTGAGTGAACATCCAACTCATGCAGATCCAATAGGTGACTGTGAACACGATGAGAACCTAGAGAATTGTTTCGTTTTACTAGAACATTGAGAATTTATTGATTTATTGATTTATTGGTTTATTGGTTTATTGTTTTATTGGTTTATTGGTTTATTGATTTATTGATTTATTGGTTTATTGGTTTATTGGTTTATTGGTTTATTGGTTTATTGGTTTATTGGTTTATTGGTTTATTGGTTTATTGGTTTATTGGTTTATTGGTTTATTGGTTTATTGGTTTATTGGTTTATTGGTTTATTGGTTTATTGGTTTATTGTTTTATTGCTTTATTGCTTTATTGATTTATTGATTTATTGATTTTACTAGAAAGCCTCTCATTTACCCTCAACGGATGTTCGGCCATCATCGTTTTGATCACAAAGCGGAAATCCATTGAGATTCGGTTCAACGCCGCGATCGATCTTGTGGCTGCGTCCTGAATTGCTTGAATGTGTTAGCTAATGATTTACAAAATTTTAAGCTCAAGAGCTTTAGACAAATAAAAAACATACCTGAAATTGTTTACTGTGAAGAACCATGAAACGACAAAGGAGATAACTCCGTAAAAACATTGGTACAGAGAGGAGAACGTCGACAGGAACCTGGGATTAACTGATGAGTACAGCGATTACAGTAAACAAATAAGAGCTGATAATTTGATTTCACTTTAATTTCAATAATGTTGCCTTTTGTTTTTTGCACAATTGTTGCCTTTTAAAGCGTGCTCTAGAGCGCCAAGAACAAGTAGAATGGCCAGATGTTAGATGCTCATTCTCCCCTCCTTTTGAAATTTGAAAAAATTGGTAAAGAGAGGAGAAGGAGGGCGCGAGGGGAGCTTGAGAGGGGGCGAGAGGGGCGCGAGAGGGCGCAAGGGGAGCGCGGGAGGGGCCGAGGGGTTTGAAGCCCTTCAAACTGAATTTCAATGAAACAGACAATGTCTTGTGAACAAAAAAGCTTACCCATCAGAAAAACTCACTGATATCATTGTGACTTTTCTCGTTTCCGGTGAAATAAAAGGCCAATTGATGGAACCTGTGCCTAAAATTTGTTTTATAATATAGCTGACATAGCTTGAGGAAAAGATTTCAGTGTAATAGATATTTCATCAATGATTTCTAACCTGGAAAAGGACATATCGAGCAAACAATCAACTCCAGCGTTAGCTTCAATATTCGATCCGTACTCAGCGCCACTCTCCAATCATCCGCTCCCGAATCGATTAACGCTATTTTTACCTGAAAAGATTTGAATACATCTAATCAGAATTGTTCTTTTAATTCTTTTAAACATTATTTAAAACATTATTATAAACATTATTTTAAACATTATTTTAAACATCTTTTATGCTTTTTAAATACTTTCTAATGCTTTTAAAGATATAGAATTTACTATATAGAAACTTGAAGCTAATCATGGATTAATTCTCAATTTTCTGATTGTGGGGAGTCGATGGCAAGTGCTAGAGCTTTTGGGGAAAGGATCGTGGGAAAGGATCGACGACATCGAGTCGTCGATGTCAACAAACGGCGCATCGAAGCGGCACTCAAAGTGGGCATTTGGATTGGACTTTGAGTAAAAGCTTAGTTATATGTTACTTTGTTTAATTCCAGGTCGAAAGCACCGAAACCGAGGATAACGGAGTACTGAAGTTGGAGGTTGAGAGACTTTTCTATTCAAAATATTTTTAAAGAATCGAATCAAAACCATAAAAGACTTCAGTTTTTATGTAAATCAAGCTCTATTTGATATCAATTAAAAGCCTTAGATTCTTTTTCTTTAAAACTATATAAAAAGTTAATAATAACAATATCTCTAAAGAAAGTTATGAAAAATTTAGAGCATAGAAGAGCCCAGACCAGCTCAAAGAAGCCAAGCCAACGCCAGGCAGAAGTACAGCTTTATTTAAAGCTTTATTTAAAACTCATTTACTTTAAGCAATCTCATTTTTGTTTACCTTTGTTATTTACTTAATTTTGGCTTTCTTTCTTTCTTAATTCTTTACCTCTATAGAGTGATAGTTGACAAGACAAGCCATTAGCGAAATCGTCGACGAGACGGCCGCTCCACGCAACAATAACGAAGCCCAATGAGTCTGGAAAAGGATTTGATCGGTTTATTTGAGAAGAATTAGCAAAAGAAGAGATAAATACTATGAAAACTAGTAAATCTCAAAAAAAAGTCAACAAGCCACTTCTCCATCAGAAAAAATACCAAAAAAGTCTCTCAAAAAAGGTCAACAAGCTCTACCGTAATCACTAGTAAATATGAAATGTATTAATCTTTAGAATTAAAAGAGTTTCGAAGGCAAACCTTATCAATGCCAGTATCTTTTTTCAGCGCCGTCAACTCCGAGTCGACCACCACGAATAACAAACCGGCGATCGCCAAAATGAGACACAAATCGCAAATCTAAAGAAAAAGCATGAATTAGATGCAAAAAGGAAATAAAAAGGAAATTAGAGTAAATTGGACCTAAATAATCTTATTTTTGAACAAGTTTACACGATTTTTAACAAGTTTCCATGATTTTCAACAAGTTTACACACAAGTTTGCACGATTTTCAACAAGTTTACACGATTTTCAACAAGTTTACACGATTTTTCAACAAGTTTACACGATTTTCAACAAGTTTACACGATTTTCAACAAGTTTACACAATTTTTGAACAAGTTTACACACAAGTTTACATGATTTTCAACACAACACAAACCTTGTTTCTTCGAATGAACAACAACTTCCGCATCCGGCATCGCATTTTTGCCGTCGACTCGCTGAAAATAAACTCATTTTATGCAAATTTCAGTTTTATATTTACTCTATATTCAGATCAATCGGAACAGCTCAAAAAAAAGGAAAAAAATTGTAATCTAAAAGCTCAAATTTCATGCGGCAATTTCGGGTTGACTTGGAAACGGAGACCCACTTCTCCATCAGAAAAAAGACCAAAAAAGTCTCTCGAAGAAAGTCAACAAGCTCTACCGTAATCACTTGAAAGCGTTTCGTGTTGGGTTTTAATTTGAAAAGTCAACTTTTTTTGAAGTTATTCCTTCATTTTTTAAATGTTTTGACGAGTTTTCCCCGTTTTTCTTAAATTCATCGACCTTGAAAAGCGTTAAATCTCTTTAAAACTTAACTTAAAAACCCTGTTTTAACCAGAATAGGCTTGTATTTGTTTTTTCTTTTCTTTTTCTTTTCTTTTTCTTTGTCTTTGAATGAATTATCGTTTTATCTGATTAGAAATTATAGCTGAAAAGCAATTAAAAAAGTTTTCTAGTGACTTAAAAGTACTTTCATACTTTCAAACTACTTTGAAACTTTAAAAACTATACTTTAAACTATACTACAAACTATACTTTAAACTATACTTTAAAACTAATCCTTTGAATTATATAAAATTAAAGCTCAAATAAAAGCTCAAATTAAAGCCCAAATAAAAGCTCAAATTAAAGCTCAAATTAAAGCTCAAATTAGAGCTCAAATAAAAGCTCAAATTAAACCTCAAATAAAAGCTCAAATAAAAGCTCAAGTTAAACCTCAAATTCAAGCTCAAATAAAAGCTCAAATAAAAGCTCAAATAAAAGCTCAACTTAAAGCTCAATTAAAAGCTCAAATTAAACCTCAAATTCAAGCTCAAATAAAAGCTCAAATAAAAGCTCAAATTCAAACTATAATTCAAGCTCAAATTCAAGCTCAAATCAAAGCTCAACTTAAAGCTCAAATTCAAGCTCAAATAAAAGCTCAAATTAAACCTCAATCAACTCACTCTTTCGATAAAAGGCTATAAAACGGTGTCGGCAACATTGTCAGAATATTCGTAATTTCTCAAGAGAACATTCGAATCAAAAAGAGTGCATTTCTTGGGGGATTTCCCGAGAAATTCGCCTCGAAAATGCATGATGTCCTCGTCGATTTCCCCTGTTTCTTTTCCTTTCATATTTGAAGGTGATGAGAGGCTTAAACCCTTCTTCTCATGAAAATTTGGCCTTTCTTGAAAATTCTTGAAAAACCCTTTTCACTAAAAAGATCCATTTCCCCCTTATTTTTTTTGTCGGCGCAATGGAATTTGCAATGGAAAACGAAAAGAGGCAAAATTTTCTCAATTTTCAATTCTTTTTCACAAGACTAGTGTTTTTTTAAAGGAAATGAGAAATTAAAAGTTTATGAAAAAGAGAAATTGATGAGACAATGATGGTTTTATTAATTTAAAACTTACCGTAAATACTGTAATAGTACCGCACCCCCATATTGACGATGCGGAGTGTTGCATAGGCTCGGTTTGAACGAGGTTTTTCTCGACACTGGTTTATGCTACAATGCGCGTTTGGTGATGGGAATTGGACAGTGTCAACAAGTGGATACGTTGATGAAGAAGAAAATCGAAAGGTTCAAATGAAAATCGAATCGAAAGGTTTAAATGAAATAGAGATACGAATTACTTTTCTTAAATTAACATAACCTTTTTCTGTTTCGGAAGCTCTGAATTCAATTGGATTCGGGAAAGCAGGAAGCTTCAAGAAGCTGGAAAGAGATAGTTTTTGTCTAGTAAACCGTCCTCCCGGCACTCTGCTACGGGACAGAGACCTGGGCCACGACACAGACCACTGAACGAGCCCTGAGAACGACGCATCGAGCCCTTGAAAGGAACCTCCTCGGGCACAATAGAAAGACGCAGCTCGACCAAGACCTAAGAAGTACGGATATGCGTCAGCTCTCGGGACTCAGAGATCCAGTGGAAGTGATTGAGAGAAAAAGACTCAGATGGGCCGGCCACGTAGCCAGAAGAACAGACGAGAGATGGACGATACGGATCACAGAGTGGCTACCACCAGACCAGAAGATGCCCATCGGAAGACCAGCAACGAGGTGGAGCACAAGAGTCAGAGACGGTCAGAGAAAGGATGGCTAGAGTGCAACCACCAGCAGCACAAGCAAGTCGAAGACTTCGAACCAGGAACAATCAAGATAGGAAACACTGGATGACAATAGCAAGGAATAGAGAAATGTGGAAGCAGGTTGTGATCTGCGAAGACAGATCAAAAAAAAATTGATGAAAGAATCGAAATTTCATTCTATTTTATTATTTTAACACATTCACGACGATACGACGCTGTACTAATGACGAATATTTTTAGTGTCAACTCAAGTCTTTAAGGACTTTAAGGACTTTAAGGACTTTAAGGACTGTTTTTATATTTCGTAGAAAATTTTTTCAGTAACTTTGTACGAGTTTCAAAAGAAGATTCAGGGCTTTCAAATAAGCTAAAAATAGTTTAGCTTAACCTTCGAATATTCACTAAAATATCAGCAAAAACATTTGACGAATACGCGACTGTACGCCCAAGAAGCCGTCGTCGGAAATGTGCTAAACAAATTTTTTAAAAACAAAAATTTTACGATTAAAATTTCATTCTTATTTTAAAGAATCAAAAAAAAAAAAGATTCCTATAAAACGAAATGCTAAATGTGGCTACAAATCCACGTCTTTTTCGTTTCGCTCTCTTTCTGGAAAGAAAGATTTGTGTGAAAAGGATCGATTGTTCATTTCTACTTATCCCCCCTACAAGAGGAAAAACATCCATTTTTATCATTAGTTTCTTTTTTGCTTTTCCGAATTTTGCCTAGCAACGAGCGAGAGAAAATCCTGAATTTTTTCGAGTTTTTGAGTGAGTTCGTTCTGGGATAAGGCTAATGTTTGCTCAAATCATCACTGTTGGTACACCAAAAATAGTAGACTAATTGTTTTTTGCACAATTGTTGCGTTTTAAAGCGTGCTCTAGAGCGCCAAGAACAAGTACAATGACCAGATGTTAGATGTTCGTTCTTCCCTCCTTTTTAAATTTGAAAAAAATCGAAAGGAGAGGAGAAGGAGGGCGCGAGGGGAGCTTGGGAAGGCGGGCTTGGAAGGGCGCAAGGGGGGCTTGGGAGGGCGGGCTTGGAAGGGCGCGAGGGGATCTTGGGAGGGCGCAAGGCGGCTTGGAAGGACGCGAGGGGGCTTGGAAGGGCGCGAGGGGAGCTTGGAAGGGCGCAAGGCGGCTTGGAAGGGCGCGAGGGGAGCTTGGGAGGGCGCGAGAGGGCGCGGGGCGAATGCCAATGCGAAATTGCTCTTTAAACCCCTCAAACTCGTACTATTCACTAGGAAATCTACAAAAGTCTACAAAAAAGCTCTCTAAAAAATCTCAAACATTCATGAGCACTATCAAAAAAGAGATAGAAAATCTCCTAAAACGTGCAAAGAATCAGGGGCGTTAGCAAAGAAAAAAAAATGAGTTTTCATTCAGTTTTCATCGTTTTTTAGATACCTTATAACATCAAGAATGGGTTGCTTTTCATCGTCGCTATAAACGATTCGTTATTTACGAATTTGCCACATATAATCAAAGGTTACTGTAGATAATAATGACTTTTAAAGCTCAATATACATATCTTACTTTAACATTTATAAACTCTAAAACCTTTAACATATTTAACCGATCTTTCCGGTTAACGGGGGGAGGGCGGTAACTTTTTTGGCCTACTTCCAGCTGATTTTTAGGCATCTTACATCGGTCAGATCAGAAAGTTTTAATAAGATTTAAATAGCTTAGAACGTCAGCTTTCGAAAAATATTTGTTTCATCAAAAGTTATTAACAAAAATGTATTTAAAATATGGCTGGAAGTTGGCCACCCCCGATATTCACTGTACTGCCCCGTTAACCGAAAAGATCCTATCTTACTATTAGAATCAGTTGCCAAATGTTGCAAAAGTTGTGTGAAACTCATGTTTACAGAAATAAGGCTTAAAATCTTTGTAACTTACCGTAATTATTCTAATAGAAGCATAATGATGGGGTATTGCCGCGTAGTCTAACTTTACACGCTGTTCCGGGCTGCTTTTTGCTACAATGTTTGCTTGGATGTCAAACGATAGCGCTTCTAATCTAGTAAAGTCTAGTAAAAATCTGAAAGCTGAGAAAAAAAATGATTTTCTGAAAAGAAATTAGACTACTCGAGGAGGTGCCGTTCTATTAGAGTATTTACGGTAAATGAAAATCCAGAGCTTTAAAGAAAAGCTGCTGGGATATTCAAGTGATCTATTGTTTGCGAATTCCCAGTTCTTGTATTAGCCAATTTTTGGCGACGATTTATGTAACGAGACTCTAGATAAGCATTTTCAATTCTACCTCGAAATCGCGATCCCATATCCACTCTGTCGTCGTCGAATCACGCGCACTGTACTCGCTGATCGCTGCTTTGGCTCACCGCCAACTTCCGGATCGAAACGAACGCCGCCATTGAGGTGTTTGTCATCTAAAATCTTGATTTTAACAATTTTCTTGAATATTAGTAGTTTACTAACAAGTTACTTGAGCTAATGAGTTACTCGAGCTAATGAGTTACTCGAGCTAACGAGTTACTCGAGCTAACGAGTTACTCGAGCTAACGAGTTACTCGAGCTAACGAGTTACTTGAGCTAACGAGTTACTTGAGCTAACGAGTTACTTGAGCTAACAAGTTACTCGAGCTAACGAGTTACTTGAGCTAACAAGTTACTAACAAGCTAACAAGTTACTTTTAAATATCCCAGCAGCTTTTCTTTAAAGCTCTGGATTTTCATTTACCGTAAATACTCTAATAGAACGTTAGTAAACTTGTTAGTTAGTTGTTAGCTCAAGAACTGCAAATTTCCGCACTCTAACAAGTGCAAATTTTTACTAACAATACGAGTTTACTTTAGCAAGAAACCCGGAAAAACCAAACTCACGGATAATCTCAATAATAGTCCTCATTTTTTGAACTCATTTTCTCTGATTGGTTAAAAGAATTCAAAAATATTATTAGATGAAATAGACTGAAGGGTTTAAGTTCAATAGATTTTGATGGGGCACAATTTTTAGCCTAGCTTCTGCTCCTTTACGGGGGCATGACTGTAATTTGATAGGGGCTAGGCCAAGGCCTTTTCTCTTTGTGGATTTTTGAATTATTGCGGAAAATTTGTGGAGAAAAAGACGGGGAGAGGTTCCAATATATGGAGTGGAGTTTGTTTGAAGAGGCCCACATTCCTTTCGAGAGGCTAAAAGCCGTGATCGACAAGATGACGTGTTTTTGAACGGGGGGAAATGCTTGAAAGGAATACAAAATCATTGATTACTCTTTATTTCACCAATCATTTATAATGGTAACTTAAAGATACAAGTTTCAAAGCAGAAATTGCTTCGCTCATTGAGCTGGTGTTGAAGATTTACTTGATATCGTCAACTTTGAAGTCTGATAGTCGACTCTGATGCTTTTTTTGGATAAAACTAGTGTTGTATAGTAAAATATTGATGAAGTTATAGATAAAGTTGCGATTTTTCAGGATAATTTAAAGAAAGCTGTTTACTGAATGATACTAGTTGATCGTATGCACTTGATAGCCTTATCGAATGCACCGAGCCGAGTTGAACACTATTTTACGGTTTCTAACTTTCCACAGAAACTCTACACTCTAACCCCTCGCAAGATCTCATCGTCAGCTACATTTTCCAACCCCACATCGATAGGTTCTGATAAGCGGTTTTTGAGATTTCAATTTAAGCAACGTTCAGGGTGCAATTACTATTAGAGAGAATACGGTAAATTAAAGAAAGCATTCATGTGGACTAGCTAAAGTTTTCGAGTAGATAAAACCATTATTTAATAGACGTACATAATGTTAAATAGTGTCTGATCAGTTTTGTCAATTAATCCATGAAAACTGACATCAAGTCTGCCTTTTAACCTTGCCACTCACTTGACGACAATAGAGTAATTCTTTTGTGACGCGAGAGAAGATCTTCCAGTAATTCATAGATGGTAACGTTCACATTTCTCTCTTTTTTCGAAGAGAGAAACATTCTAAGAACAAAGATATTTAATAGATCTGATGAGAAACATTTCAGGAACAGAATATTGGCCGATATGCAAAAGCGAAAGAGTTAAAGTAACTAATTAAAGTATCTAGATAAATGTTCTAGATAAATAAGCAAAGATAACCGGATTACGGTATTATAGGAATTATGTATTAGAGTATCTTTGACATCATCTACATATAGATCTCAAAAAAGCGCTCGAGAAAGCTTGAAACAAATCTCATACTCTAATCGAAAAGAAAGCAAAAAGAAAACGTGTTTATTTTCAGCTTTCAAATATCCGATTCCGGGTGAAGACAGCGATATTTCTCATTTCCCGGGGAGATGATTAAAAAAATCCCCGCCTCAGCATTTGTGGGTCAAGAATTTCAATTTTGCGGCTTTCTTTTTTTGGCCAGCTCAGCAGCGAAGCGAAAAAGACCCAAAATTGACTTAATGATTTGGGAAAAGACTTAAAAAACTTTCATGATTGGCTTGTTTTTGGAAACAAAGCTATTTTGATCACTTGCTTATTTCATGACCGACGATGGCTGGTTTTTATTCGAAAGAGTTGCAAAAAGCTGAAGAGAAAAAGCGGGGGTGGGACAAATGCGATCTCGTTGGCAAATTTGGACTAAAAGGCAAATTTGGACTAAAAGGCAAGCTAGAAAGCTAAAAGGCTGCGGAAAAGCGTTAAGTTGTGTAGTTTTTGTCTTTTAGCCCAAACTTGACGTGTCAGCGAGGTCTGATTTGTCGAAATTCGGAATCTACGCATACGATTCCCTGACATGGGAACATTTTTGATGCTCTACGGCCTTTTCCAACGAAAAAAAAGGTGCGCTTTTGGCCGGGTGCGCAAAAAAAAGCTATATGTTCTTCGCAAAGGTCGCCTTTGTCATTTCATCATTCGTCCCACTCCCGAAAAAGCTATATGTTCTAGAATGCTGTAAACTTGCGACAAATTACCATAATCTTATCTCTATTTTTTTTTCTTCAATCTATACATTTTTTTTCTGTGAATTAGATAGAATTAGTTTAAAAAAATAGATTGATTGAATAAAAACCGAAGGAAAGATTATGGTACTTTGTTGAAAAGTAGATAAAATAACATTGATGAGCTTGACTAAAGGTTAGAAATAGCTACAAGTAAAAAAACCTGCTCGATCTAGGTCTAGATTTAGAATTTGAAAAACTTTCAATGATATTCAAAGATTTTTTGAGATTTTCCACTCAAGCTCTATCCAAATCGGGAGCTGATTTGCGTCAATGCACCCCCGGTCGAGTGGTTGAATTGTCACGGGATTTAAAACCCATATTAAGCGCTTATCCCTCTAGCAATATGTTCCATTTATTCAAGAAAACATCACTTCACCTCAGAAATCAAAATTGATTTGAAAATAGTCTAGAAGAGCGCAGGTTTAATGTAAAAATTGGTGTAAATTGGTGTAAATTGGTGTTAATTGGTGAAATTTCAATAACCAACCGAAATGACTTTAAACTTTCAGAATAATGATAACTCTAAAGCTCTAGAAGCCTTAGGAATCTAATTTCTAGAATCTTAGAGAGCTTTAAACTCAGAAAAGTTCAAAAGAAGTTGTTCTTAGCCTAGGAAACTTTAAAGTTAAAGAAAAAAAAAGCTGAAGTGTTTGAAGAAGTGGGCGTTAAGCTCATCCATTGAAAAATCTAAATGCCGTTCCAAAAAGTGATGTCTTATTTGAAGAAACTGCAAAACAGGATCATTTTTTTGTGCTCTGTTTCTAAAACCGAAGGGTGGAATTCGTCTGAAAAAAGGAATTTTTCTAAAAAGGGTGGGTGGGAAAAGGCTCTCCTGGGACATCCCATCAAACAAATTTCAAAAAAAGAAAAGCTTGCCCTAGAAGATTGGGGGGAATATTTAAAGCCAGGAAAACAGGAAACGAGTTTTCGAGTGATGTTTTTGCTGGTGATCAACAGAAAACAAAAGTTTGATCAATTGAAAAGTCATCTTTGTGAGTGGTTAAGGGAAAGCTGTGAAAAAAACTTTTAGAGAATCAAAATTTAAAGAGCTTTAGCTTTAGCTGTAGCTGTAGCTTTAGCTGTAGCTGTAGCTTTAGCTGTCGCTTTAGCTGTAGCTTTAGCTGTAGCTTTAGCTGTAGCTTTAGCTGTAGCTTTAGCTGTAGCTTTAGCTGTAGCTTTAGCTGTAGCTTTAGCTGTAGCTTTAGCTGTAGCTTTAGCTGTAGCTTTAGCTGTAGCTTTAGCTGTAGCTTTAGCTGTAGAAAGTTTGTTTTGAATTGTTTAAAAAACAATTTTTTAAGATAGATTGGGTAAATAAACAAAAATCTAGTTCAAATTTTTCGAGTATTCATTAATTGAAAGTTGAAAAAACACATTTCATCAATTTCATCAATTTCAGTCAATTTCATCTCAAATTACAATAGTTTTAAAAAAGCTTTAACGCTTCAAATTTCATTCTAACAAATGTGACGTTGATTTTGAGTTTAAACAAACATTTTAGGGCATTGAAAATTGAAATTTTTGTTCATTAGGAAAGAGATAATTTGCTAAAAGAGGTAATTTAAATGGAAATTTGAGGAATAGAAATTGTCTTTGAACGAAAGAAATTGTCTTTGGAGTGTCTTTGAAAGAAAAAGTTGCAACGTACTTTTGGTTTTGTCTAGATTAATCTAGCAAACGTATAAATAATCTATAACTATTTAAGATTAGCTCAACTGTTAGCGCATTTACAGAATACTTTTATTCATCTTTACTGTACTTATCAGTTGCTTCGATTTGATAGTTCTATACTTAAACAGTTCAATAGTTCTATACTTAAATAGCTCAATAGTTCTATACTTGAACAGTTCAATAGTTTTATACTTAAACAGTTTGATAGCCCTGTTTTAATGTAATTATTCGCACCACTATAGTTACTAGTATTAGTACCACTTACAGTAAGTTTAACCCATTCAATATGGTTATCGGACTACCTTTATCTTTTCCCATTGGCAATCTAAATTTAAGCTCAAGTTTCTTGGTGTTGCGCTGTCCAATTGAAATATTTTTGATATCATTAGATTCGCCAAGTTTTTCTCTATCGATTGGTATAAAAACTATTTCAATTGCATAGTCCAACACCAAGAAATTTGAGTTCAAAGTTTTGCCAATGGCAAAAGGGCAGGGCGTCTCAATGTCTCACAATCGTTCAATATAGATATCAAGTTTTGTACAACTAGGAGTTTTAAACTATTGATATTGATGATTGATACAGCAACCATGGACTACTTTATGCCATAGTACAAACTTTCTAATCCTTAAATCTTAAACTCACTATCAAGTGACGGGAATTTCGAGCCTCTCCGCTTTTTTGTGCTCATCACCGTCATTTCATAGGGCAAATATCGATCAATACTTTCGTAGTAACTCCTTTGCATGTATCCGTTGTCAACCGACGAGAATTTCCGCTGAGGGCCCAATAGTGGGGTTCTCATTGTTGATGGCAGTGCTCCGAGGCACGACTCTTTCCGGTCGCACGAGTTCCCCGATTTCAGTGTTGCCCTTGATCCCTTGGATGTTCTAGAGCCCTGTCTAACGGTGATTGTACTCGGATACTCGGAGTCTCTCAGTACACTGGATTGCCGCGAAGAATATGCGAGAGATTGCTGCTTGTACAGAGAGTTCCCCCTAGCCAGTGAGGGACTCCGATAAACGGTTGTTCTCGTAGTCTTTCCAGGATAGCAATTCACGTAGACTTGAGTGGTAGGGCCACCAATGACGGTAGTCGGTCGTGGATGGGCGCAACACTGGGACGAGGTGATTTTCTGCTCCAGCGAGGTTGCGGAGGCTCTCGACGAGGTTGGGATCGGCTCATCCGGTGGCGGACTTCCATCAGGAATCGGTGTAATTGCTAGAGGAGGAGTCGGGCCGTAGTAGGCGGCTTGACGATAGAGTAGACCGTGATCCGAGTTTCGATGGGATTTCCGATAAACTTCGCCTCTTTGAATCGGCTCTGGGTCGATTGCCGGAAAATTCAGCGATTCATTCACTTCATCGTTGCTCTGAATTTTGTCGAAAATCGAGAAATCGGCAAAAGAGTCCTCGACGCGGTCCGTGCCGTCAATGTAGGGTGGATCGAACATTGTGAGATCAAACCATTTCTAAAAAAAACGATAGATTAGAAAGCAAAAGAGAATGAAAAGGCAAAGAAAAGGTAATGCTGGCAATCTAAGAATAGCTGGATGGTTTCGATTTTTACAAGGAAAAGATATTCAAGATGTTACCCGCCCCTTTTTCAGTCTGTTTGCCGTTGACAATCTACAAATTTTGCTCGTACCTTCACCTGGCTTTTTTGAAAAACGTTGAATTTGCTTTCATTCAATAGAAAATTTGATTTCGAGCCGAATGAAAGCAAATTCAACGTTTTTCAAACAAACCAGGTCAAGATACGAGCCAAATTCGTAGATTGCTAACAGCAAACGGATCGAAAAAGGGGCGCTAACATGCTGAATATCTTTTTCTTGTAAAAATCGAAACCATCTAGCTATTCTTAGATTGCAAACGGATCGAAAAAGGGGCAGAGTTAACATGGTTGTTCAAAGGAAAGCTTAAAACCGTTTAATTCTACAGGAATAATCAAAAAAGGAAAAATTTCGGTGAATTTCGGTTTATTCAAGTTAAATTTTTAAGGTAGGTTAAATTCCGCAATCTTTTTTTTTTGCGCAACAGGATCATTTGCGCAACTGGGTCGTTTGCACAACTCGCCATAACTTTCTTCTAAGTGGACTAATCTTTATGATTTTGGTTTTATTTTGTAGATCTCAATAAGTGCAAAAAAAATGAAACCAACATCATAAAGATTAGCCGACTTAGAAGAAAGTTATGGCGAGTTGCGCAAATGACCCTGTTGCGCAAAAAAAATTGCGGAAATCAGCCAACCCCATGAGGAGCCAAACTTGGTTTCTGAAATGAAAATGGGGTAGGCTAATTTCCGCTATTTGTTTTTGCGCAATAGGGTCATGTGCACAACTCGCCATAACTTTCTTCCAAACGGACTAATCTTTATGATTTTGGTTTTATTTTGTAGATCTCAATAAGTGCAAAAAAAAAATGAAACCAACATCATAAAGATGCGCAGGAGAAAGTTATGGCGAATTGCGCAAACGACCCAGTTGCACAAATGCCCTGTTGCGCAGAAAAAAATGCAGAAATTAAACTATCCCAAAATTTGACAAGGTTAACTGCATATTTTTCATTTTATCTCGAAGAATAGATATTCAATTGGGGGTGGGACAAATGCTACCTTTTTTTTGCGCACCTGGACATTTGCGCACCTTTTTTTGCTGGAAAAGGCCTTAGGCAAGGCCGTAGAGCTTCGAAAATATTTCGAAAATACTTCCATACAAGGGAATCGTATGCGTAGATTCCGAATTACGACAAATCAGACCTCGCTGACACGTCAAATTTGGGCTAAAAGGCAAAAACTGCGGAAAAGCGTTAAGTTGCGTAGTTTTTGCCTTTTAGCCCAAATTTGACGTGTCAGCGAGGTCTGATTTGTCGAAATTCGGAATCTACGCATACGATTCCCTTAGATGGAAGTATTTTCGAAGCTCTACGGCCTTGCCTAAGGCCTTTTCCAACAAAAAAAAGGTGCCTCAAAAAAAGGTCGCATTTGTCCCACCCCCATTCAATTAAAGAATAGATATTCAATTAAAGAATAGATATTTAATTAAAGAATAGGTATTTAATTAAAGAATAGATATTCAGTTAAAGAATCGATATTCAAGTAAAGAATAGATATTCAGTTAAAGAAAAGAATATCCAAAAACTCTGTCATACTGTGGTAAAAAAGCTCTGCAAGAACTTCCAAAACTCAACAAATCCTGGATAAAACAAAGCTTTGATTCAAGGAAATAGATTTTAAACAAAAAAGGCAATGAGTCAGATAATGAAAGGAATCAGCTCGAAAAATCATGAGATCCCAAAATGAAGGGGAAAATGAAAAAAAAAAGAAGAGATAAAGCGAAAGTATATGAAGAAAATCCAGGAGATTTCCACTAATCCCGTCTAATTTTTCAGGGATAATCAAAAAAAAAGTAAAGATTTGAGTCAAACGGGAAATGTCATTTCATAGCCGAAAAGACGTCACTTCACCCGGTGTGATCTAATGGATTCGATGTGGATTTGTGGAAAAGTGGGGTTTATGATCGACAAAGCTGATTCGATGATTTCACTTTGACTTTTTTTTTATTTAAAATGGTTCAAGTGGATAATCTTCAAAGAAAATTTGTGTATTTTTGGAGTTTTTCGAGTAAAATTATTTCGATATTTACTTTGAAAAGATCTAGAAAAAAATCTACCGTATTTTTTCGAATAGAAGACCGGGTAAAGAGTATCATCGCGTACTCCTGCGTAGCAGCCCTTTTTAAAATTTCTTTTCTGCATAAAAGCTTTCAATCAAGTGCTATAGAGCTGGAAAATGGCTCAAAAATACCACATGAGCTAACAGATTTTGAAGGACGATTGGACCTTAAATTCTTGATGAATTAATTGCATCGATGCCTACTCGTATTAAAGAAGTACTTTTGGCAAAAGGAGGAGCGACTAAATATTGATTAAAGCTCAAAAATCTGCTAGCAAAATCAAGTGGTATTTTTGAGTCATTTTCCAGTCCTATAGCCCTTCATTGAAAGCTTTTATGCAGAAAAGAAATTTTAAAAAGGGCTGCTACGCAGGAGTACACGATGATACTCTTTACCCGGTCTTCTATTCGAAGAAATACGGTAGATAAAATTTCCACAGGTTTTCTGTTCCAAAAAAAATATCACGAGTCAAAGAAAAACTTTGCCTTTCACTAATGTTTCTGTGGGAATTTGCGGGGAAATCCGAGCTCCTCCGCATGACTAATTTCAAGTAAATTTTCGAAGAAAAGAGAACAAAACAAAGAACAAAAAAAGAGCAAAACAAAGATCAAAACTTATTTTCATCAATAATCCTAGTTTTTAAAGGGAAAAACCTCTCAAAATAGAGCTTTTTTGGGTACTTCTAAGGGAACAAAAGGCCGGGGAAGGGATGCGGAAAGAAAGAACTTTTGAAAAGTTTTGCTGAGAGAAAAAAACGTGTCCGCACTAAGCACTTCCCTGTTTGAATGAAGGAAATGTTTAAAAAGTTAACTACAAAGTAAACCAATTAAAAGCTTATTTGCTTAAACGATTAAAAGCTGCTTGAAGTGTTAAAATGTTAAATCTTAAGTATTCAATGCGGCTTTTTACCATAACTTTTGTTTGTTTTTCCTTTTTTAAACCAATTAAGTTATTCAAAAATCTCAACCTAAATTAGAAATAACTTTTTCAAATAAAATGTAAAGTTAAACTTTGATTCAAATCAAATAGACCCTTCTTGTTAGCTGATTTTGTTGGAGTGATGGATACAGTGCGACTGAAAACCAAAGGAGCCACTAAAAGTGTTACTCATTTCTTATTTCATAGCTGCAAAACAAATCTTCTAAAATTTCGATCATCGCTATTAAAGTTTCACTAAACGAACTCCTCCATGAGACCTCAATCTATTATTTATGAACGCAGAAAGTGCGAAATGTATAAATGTTTCCAAGAAAATATTCCTGTAGATGATTTCATTATTTAGAAGACCGTTTTGGAACACTTAAAAAAGAAGGATTTCTAAAGAAACTTATTGAAATCAAGAAGATCAAGTCCAAAATCAAGAAACTTTGAGTCAAACTTTGAGTTAGCTTTGGGTTTCAAGGAGTTGAGTTAGCTTTGGATTTCAAGGAGTTGAGCTAGCTTTGGGTTTCAAAGAGTTGCCTTCCTTGAGAAAAACCTCCAAAGCTATACCCAAAGATCAGCAAAACTTCCACCTCAATCTATTCGTCACAATCGATAAATGGAGAACCAAGAAACCAAAGCAATACGAAGAGATTAGCTTTACTTGGCTTGGAACAAAATCATAACTAAGTCTAAGTATTGGCTTTGTCTAGGAAATCTATTCTAGTCCTCCTGTATGTAAAAATGTTTTAGATGCTTTTTTGTTGATTTTCATCGACGTTTTCATGGTTTAATTTCATGAAATCTCATCTATATTATAAAGATTTCAAATAGTTTTAAGACCAAATAAAATTCAGATGTTAAAACATGAAAATGCAAAACAAAAGTTCGAAAAGGAATCGAACTCGAGGAAAAAGGTAGCGCCGGTTTTGTATGCAAGCTTTTTGTCCACTAGACCTTTATCCACTAGACTTTTTATCCACTAGATCTTTTTATCCACTAGACTTTTTATCCACTTATCTTTTTATCCACTAATTCAATCACCCTTAAGGCCCGTGAGAAAACTGTTATAAAGGCATCCCTATTCTGCCCGAAATTTTCGCAAACGCAAGCAAACGCAAACACGTATAACTTTTTATAGAAAGCAATTTTGCAAAAACGGAAAGCAGATTCGAAATCAGCGTGAAATTCTGCCTATCTCATTTGGCCACATACCACTCTTGTCTTTCCCTTGTAGGTCTAAGAATTGGCTTTGTCTGGGAAACCAATACCAATCCGTCTGTATCAACTCTGGTATCCAAAAGCTAGGCAAAATTGAGAGTGATTTAGATATGTAAAGCTTGTTAGAGATAGAGTTTTTTAAAAGCAAAGCTTTTGTTTCAAAAGCCTTTCAAAACTTTCAAAAGCTTTTGAAAACCTTAAAAAACAGCTCTAGAAACAGCTCTGAAGTCGGGATGTAAGACAAAATTTGGCGTGACTTGAGGTTGGAAGATCTCTTAGAATTAGAAATTCCTTAAATTCGTTGACGTAGAAGATCAGCAAAACTTTCGCCGGAGCAATCTATTATTCACTAATGCAATAGATGGATGGAGATCGTAGGATGGATGGATTGAGGGGGGAAAAGGGGGAATGGAAGGGGAATGGCATGGCAACCAAATATGAAGGGGATAGACATTCCCACCTGTAGCCCCGTCCACAGAAAAGTTATTTTTTTTGGCCCAAATACCCACCATTCTTTTTTTTCTTTCACCTCATTCTTATTAATGTTTTTGTGTGCCGGTGAAGCCGATTTGAGCCGGGGAATTTGATTTCACGGGTTTCCCCGCTCGTTTTAGTTTTAACTTCTGAAATGCTGAGAAAATAGTAATAAGAATCGAGGGAATAGAAGAGAAATTTTGAAATATCGATTGTTATTATGAATTGGTGACGCAAATTTTGATGATAGGATTTAATTTTAAAGCCGGGCTTAAAGCCGGCTCTAAGTCTTTGAGAGCCGGGTTTAAAGCTTTAAATTGAGATGTAAGGGTAAAGCTTTTAAAGGTTTTAGGGGAAATCCAACTGTCAAAATGGTCAAAAATGGTTGAAAATGGTTCCAAAATGATTCCAAAAGCATTTAAATCGCTTTAAAACTAGAACCATTCATAATGACTATAAAAAAAGGCTTTTCTTGAATCTTGAAACAACTTTTAGACAAACACGTTCCACGTTTCCCCGCTCGTTTTAGTTTTAACTTCTGAAATGCTGGAAAAATAGTAATAAGAATCGAGGGAATAGAAGAAATTTTGAAATATTGATTGTTATTATGAATTGGTGACGCAAATTTTGATGATAGGACTGAATTTGAGACTTAAAATGTGGTACCATACTTGAGCCAGGTTTAAAGCTGAAAATTGAGGAAAAGGGTCAAAAAGGGTTCAGGCGATTCAACTGTAAAAATGGTGCAAAAATGGTTGAAAATGGTTAAAAAATGATTCAAAAAGCATTTAAATCGCTTTAAAACTAGAACCATTCATAATAATTGTAAAAAAACTGGTTTTTCTTGAATCTTGAAACAACTTTTAGACAAACACGTTCCACGTTTCCCCACTCGTTTTAATTTTAATTTCTGAAATGCTGGAAAAATAGTAGTAAGAATCGAGGGAATAGAAGAAATTTTTGAAATATTGATTGTTACGATGAAATTGGTGACGCAAATTTTGATGATAGGACTTAATTTTAGACTTAAAATGTGGTGCTATACTTGAGCCGGGTTTAAAGCTGAAAATTGAGGTGTAAGGGTAAAGCTTTTAAAGGTTTTAGGCGAAATCCAACTGTCAAAATGGTCAAAAATGATTCAGCGCTTTAAAAATGGTGCAAAAATGGTTGAAAATGGTCAAAAATGGTTAAAAATGATTCAAAAATGATTCAAAAAGCATTTAAATCGTTTTAAAACTAGAACCATTCATAATAATTGTAAAAAAAACTGGTTTTTCTTGAATCTTGAAACAACTTTTAGACAAACATTGATGATCAGACATCTTTTCAAATATCTAAAGACAAAAATGAAAGAAAATGCTTGAGTGAACACAATTGACTCATTGTTTTCAAGCTTTTCTATGTTCAAGCTTATATTTTACCCTTTTCATTCACCTAACGACCTTTTCGTCTTTCAAGCGCCTTTCAAGCGAAAGATTTAGGTCAAGCAGTTCTTTTTTTTGAAGAAATCAGAGAGCTTAAGCTACACTGAGAAGTCAAAGCAATCATTTTTAGACTCAGAAAGAGGAGAAAGACTCAATTTTTAAATGATACGCGTAACAGTTCACTCTGACAAACACAAAAACTCATGAAAACTTGAAAACTTGAAATCGAAACCCACTTTTTGTCTCCGGTGTTGGTGTTGTGCCTTGGATGTGAACGTTTGGAACAGAGTCTCGTCTAGAAGATAATCTATAGGAGATTGTTGGAAAAATGATAAAGGAAAGCCTTTTTTTTACTAACCTTGCCGATAGAAGAGAGCGAAATTGTGAGGAGTAGCCTTGGACTTTCAGGATGTCGGAGGAGACCTAGAATTTTAGAATGTACTGTAAATACTGTAAAAACGGTAGACTTGCGAGTGTACTTTAGATATACGTTAAATACTTTAGATATAAGCTAGGTATAATCCGATTATATCTCCAAAAATTTGCATTTTTGATTGAGTCGAGTTGGACGAAGTCTTGTATTTTCTCAAGCAACTTTTCCGCCGTTCGACCGTTAACTTTCGTCAAAAAGTGGAAATAGTACAGTGTTTGAGTATATTTACTGGAATATAACCGGATTGATGTATGGAGATTTTGTTTGGTTTTTAAAATGCAAATTTATATGATATAACCGGATAGTATCATTAAATGCATTTTTTTAAGTAATTTCAAGTTGTCAATTGTAAGTCAAGTTGTAAGTCAATTTGTAAGTCAATTTGTAAGTCTAGTTGTAAGTCAATTTGTAAGTCAAGTTGTAAGTCAAGTTGTAAGTCAATTTGTAAGTCAATTTGTAAGTCTAGTTGTAAGTCAATTTGTAAGTCAATTTGTAAGTCTAGTTGTAAGTCAAGTTGTAAGTCTAGTTGTAAGTCAAGTTGTAAGTCTAGTTGTAAGTCAAGTTGTAAGTCTAGTTGTAAGTCAAGTTGTAAGTCTAGTTGTAAGTCAAGTTGTAAGTCTAGTTGTAAGTCAAGTTGTAAGTCAATTTGTAAGTCTAGTTGTAAGTCTTGTAAGTCAAGTTGTAAGTCTAGTTGTAAGTCAATTTGTAAGTCAATTTGTAAGTCTAGTTGTAAGTCTTGTAAGTCAAGTTGTAAGTCTAGTTGTAAGTCAATTACATTACAATCAACAACGTAAAGACAGATGGTGAAAAACGGGGTACATTTACAATTCAGATTTATCATTCATTCATTTAACAGGTTTGAATTTGAAGTTTCAAACATTACGGCATTTACGGTATTATCATTTTACGTACGACGAATTGTATTCTCCTGCAAATTTCACCGTACCGAGAACATGCTCGCCGCGCGGTCCCTTTGCTTCTTTTGTTGTTCTTTCTGTTGCCGTCGCGAGTCAGTTTTCCTACGATTTCCCCTTCGTTTACAATAAGGTGATGTGTCTTTGTGGATTCCGCGCAAAGTCATTCCCATTTCCAAATCCTCATGCTCATCGCCATTTAAACGATTGCTTTCGTTTAGTGCCGTTTGTGAATCGTTATCCGAATCGTCGACACTCGACGAATCCTCCTCACAAAGTGGTTCCATTCAATTCTACAAGTTCTACAACAAGTTTTTTGCTCAAAAGTTCAAAAGATTAAGTTCAAAAGTTGAAAAAAGTTGAAAAACAACCCTTCTATTAGGTGTGTGAAAAAGTAATCGACGTTTTTTATTTTTATTTTGTTTAAATAAATATATCTAAACAATTTTTAATTTTTTGTTAACGATATAATAGGTTGATGCATAAGTCTTTTCGTTTTTTTCGTACTTCTGTTAAAAAGTAACAAATTCACGAATTAATCTATAGTTTGCTCTATAAAAAAAAGTGTTTTTTTGTTCAATTTGCTTCTTTTTAAATGAATTTCGGTTCACTTTCAAGCAAATTCGAGAGTGAAAAACGCCTTTTTCGTAAAAATCTATAAAAAACTCTACGGAAAAATTGGCTGAATGAATTTCTCTGAAATTTTGGCGAAATATCAAAGGTTTTTTTTCTCTATCTTTTATCTATTGACACGAAGATAGGTTTTCTTTAGCTAAGGTGTCTAAACCGCATCATCGAGTTAGCCCTTTTTGACTACCCGACTTCATACTCTCAAGAAAATCCAGGCATTAAATATTTTTAAACACGTTTTAATGTTATTTTGCAGAAAAATAATTGCTTTTTCTAATGAAATCAACCGTAGTTTAATTGGTGCATTTGTTGGCTTGAAACGGCAGACGAAAAGGAACAAAAACACTTATGCATCAACCTAATATACATATATCGTTTAAAAGCTTATTTTTTCCTCTTTCGAATGATATATTTATTTTGTTAAAAGGACGACAATAAACTACTTTAATTTTAGTTTGAAAATGGTATACACAAGTATCGTTATTCGGTCAAATTTGCTTTATGAGTTCAAAAATGGATTGAAAGCTGCGGAGGCTGCACGTCGAATTCGGAATGCGTTTGGCGAAGATACCGTTATTGATGATAACGCTAGGTTTTGGTTCCGACGATTCAAAGGTGGTAATGAAAGCCTAGAAGATGAACCACGTGGCAGTCGCCCTGAGACCTGTTCTGATGACCAAATAAGACGCTGTCTTCTCGAAATCCCTCGTTCAACCTCTTCAGAAATAGGCCTTACATTAAATTGTGATGGGTCAACCGTAAGGAAACGCTTGAATGCCATGAATTTTATCAAAAAGTTGGACAAATGGATACCGCATGACCGATAACGGGCGACCACATGTCTCTTTACAGACTCGACAAAAAATCCAGAGTGTTGGATGGAAGGTTTTACCAAATCCACCTTATAGTCCAGACCTTTCTCCATCTGATTATTATTTATTTTTGTCTCTGTCCAACTTTTTGGCCAATAAACGGTTCAATTCCGAAGAAGATGTCAAAGCCGAGGTTGATCTTTTCTTTGCCTCTAAGGACCAAGCTTTTTATTATCGTGGAATGTCTTTACTTGTAGAACGTTGGCAAAAGGTTGTTCTTTCGAATGGTGATTACTTCGTTGAATGAAAATGATTTTAACGAAACTTATGGTCTTTTATATTTAAACGTTAACGGATTACTTTTTCACACACCTAATAGATGTTTGGTTCTTTGAGGAAAATGCTAGAAATGCTAGAAAGGGTTTGTTTCGAAAATTTGAGCATAGATTACAAAGAGAAAACAAAATCCATTAAAATTGTGTCTATCAAAAATGAATGTCAGTTGAGACACTACAAAAATTTGAGTACAAATTTTCCTATTTCTTAATTTATTAAACAAAAAAGCTCAAAAAAAAAGATTTTAAAGGAAATTGGCAATTTCGAAAAATCCAAAATTGAGTAAATTTTTTAGAAATTTTGCTAAACGAATCTTTTACTAGCTTTGAAATTGAAAGTTTGATCCAAGAATGAAAAAAAAACCAAAAAAAAGGGAAAGCCTTTGAAAATTCAATTTTGACGACAATGTTTGACTAAAAGGGGAAATTTTCTGAGAAGAAAATGCAAAAGTGACGATTCGAAAGAACAAAAGGCAGCCAAGAACGGAATTTGCTTTTTTTTGACCGCTCGGAGAAGCCTGAAAAGTCGAAATCAATTCAGAAAATATGATTCAAATTATGACAATTCAAAATCTGAAATATTCATAAAAAATCTCATCAAAAAGTTCGCACAGTTTGGAACTTTTTAAGAAAAACAGGTGAAAGGTGTTAGAGAGAAGTTTTCTAATGTTTAAAGTCGCTTTCTTCAGGGTATACACTTTGAAAGCTATCAAAAATGAATAAAAAGCCTAGTAAAAGGAAATTGGTGCGTCAGAAGGCGTATGTTTCTAGTTTTTTTGCAACAAATGTACAGCTGGATGTACAGCTAATGTCTGGGCGGAAAATTCTGTAAAGGGATAAAATTTTCCGAACCTTCTTTGCCCTCAAAAGTTTTCCTAGTTTCTTTTTCGCACACTGAACACCCAAAATAATTAAGTTGGGAATTCAATTTTTGTGCTGTCCGCGTTTCTTTTTTTTCGAAAAAGATGAGACGAATCATTGAACTTTTGAAAGTGAAACAGGAAAAATGAGGAGAAAATGGGCTTTTCGAGATATAAAGTAACCAAGAGGCATGGGGCTTTTTTTTGAAGCGGTTTGAATCATGGAGTGATTTTTAGAGCCCATTTATGCTTAATTAAAAGCATTATAGCTCAAAGTTATGGCTATAAATATTTACGCGTAAAGGAGTCCTTAAAGGAAACGAATTAGGACTAAAAAATCGCAATGACTCAATGAAATGAATAGCTTTAATCGATTCCTCGGTCTCGAAAACCACTGGGTACAAATTTATAGCTGAATATCTTTTTCTGCGTCAAAGCAAAAGAGAAATTAGTATACAAATGACTGTTCTCTGTGCGGCCGCGTAATCGCCCTTTATCTTGTAAAACCCTCCGGTATAAAGTGCTTCCCGTTTGGAATTTGTAAAGAAGAAAGCAGCGACTGAACTGAACTAAACTTTCCCGTTTCCTTGCTGTCATTATGCTCAAATTTTTGGGAGCAATTCCCGCCCCAAATTTGGCTGTATTTTTGCTACAAATTCTAGATCTCTAACTTGAGCCAGACCCCAAGCCTACCGGACCCGGGCCCGGCTTTGGTCCAATACTGGTCCAGAGCAAGCTGTTTCAAAGCCAATTATGCTGGACAAAGCCAGGCCTGGTCTAGGCATGGTCTTACAATACAAGAAGTATCAGGGTCAACTGGGACTGAATCAAGTCAGGAGTTGGTATTCTAAAATTGGTCAGGGTCAATTTCGTCAAGACTTGATCGATCCCAAATACCCCTCTACTATTCTGAAAAATATTTAGGCAAAAGGGGACGAGCTTCAGACAGGTAAAAAGAAAGCTATTCGTTTTTCAAGGAAAACCTTGTAACATGAAATTCCTGGACATACTAGTCTCCCCTCCTTTTCGCCTTCTTTCATAAAGTCCTGGTCGTAAATATGGGACGAAGTGGAGAATATAGGGAAAGGAGAGGCTCTTCTCTATATTCTACGAGTTCTCCTGGCCTTCTTCGGGAGAACTCGTAGAATATAGAGACTCCATCTCCATTTCAAAAGCTTATGTGTGAGTTGCCCCCTCTTTCCCGATGATGAGTCTCTTGAGACCATTTTTGACACAGAAAAAAAAACACTGGTGTTCCATCCTCTTGCAAAGCCTTTAAAATCACTCGTTTTGAGTTTTATAGCTTGAAAGCTCGTTTTTATATTGATTCATAGACTGATTTTATCTGGGTTCTTTAGAGGCAAGTTTTCTGGACGAAGGACGAAGACAACTAGACCAGAAGCCTGACCATCTGGTCTGCAGACTTGAGAGCCGATTGGAACACACTTGAGCTTTACTGCATAATGTTTGGCTTTGATTCGAAAAATCCTACCTACAGCTTAGATTTGAAAGGCTATGACGAATGGCGAATAGCTTATGACAAAGGTTTAGCTAGATTTGAAAAGCAAAATGTAGTCCGATGCTCATTTAAACTTTACAGCGTATGAGGAGACAAGGCTTTGCATTGGGGTTTGATCTCATTTAGAATAGCTGGTATCAGACAAAACTACAGCTATAAATTATTTAATAGTTTATAAATAAAGCTCAGTGCAAATTCGATATTGGAATATAAAAAAGGCGATTCATTTAAACGCACTGAAGAGAAAGCAAATCCTTGTTTTTCTTTGAGCTTAAACTAGGAAATCCGCTTATAGAAAATGAAAAAGAAATCTAATAACCTTATAGAATAGAAATCAATCTTGTTTTGTAGCATTTTGTCAAACTTTGCTCAAATTTTTACTCACAAGGTAAATAGGTGGCAAAAGCAAAAGCAAAAGCAAAAGCTAAGAAGCAAAAGCAGAAGCTAAGAAGCAAAAGCTAAGAAGCAAAAGCAAAAGCTAAGAAGCAAAAGCAGAAGCTAAGAATCAAACCTTTAGAAAAGCTTCGAAAAACTTTAGAAAAGTGATTATTGCTAAAAATAAACACTTTTCACCGGGTTTCCTATAAAATCCTCGAACATGTTGAAAGGGTTAGAGGAGGGAAATTTTGCAGTTGAAAGGGTTAGAGGAGGCAAAATTTTTGCAGCTCATAAACCCGCAAAAACATCTTAAGCAACAGATGTTAGTTTAAAGGGGAAATTCGGCGGATTTCCCTCAGAAAACATAGAACATTCCTCTAATATTCGGGCAAAGTTTTTTTTTGTCTAATTTTTGGCTGAATTTTTGGTGCTGAGGCTCATTTTACCAATGAAAACCCCTTTCCTAGAATAATTCCTTTTTGGAGAAAGGCTCAAGTAACACTGATGGAGATTTTGTAAGAAAAAAGATTGCTGAACAAGTTAATGAAAACAGAATTGAATGAAAAAAACGATTAAAGTTGATAGATAACAAAAAATGGTTTACTTCTTGAAACGAATCTCTGGTCAAATACCGAGCGTTCGTTTGTACGTTCAAAAGCTGCAACCACATCTCGTCTAGTGCATTCAACTCTTTTTTTTCTATAAAAAAGAATTTAAATTAGAAAGGCGTGTTTAGATTTTCGAGAGTACAAAGTACATCTCTTGGTGAGCTTTTAAACGATTCGCTTTACTAGTTTGTAGTTTGAGAATAGGGTATACAGTACTGGACAATGAAATATCATATTTGAAAAAAGATCGTCGCTTTCGCGCGTCTGTAACTCCCTTGTCTTTGAGTTTAAACTATTAGTGTTATACATTTTCTGAAAGCTCTTTTCAAGGGCTACACAATGGTAATATTAATATTTCAGACAGGGTAAAGACAAGGAAGTTACAGACGCGCGAAAGTTACGATCGTTTTTCAAATATCATATTTCATTGTCCAGTAGTGTATATGGGTTATCTCCGAGTTACTGAAAAATTTGAATCAATTAAAACAATTTATATAACATGGGTTATTCTCCCTACTCTAAAATTCGAATTTAACTTTATTAAGAACCTTATTTTAATAGACTTTGACGTTGATTTTGACGTTTTTGTCGATAAAAACAAGTGGGGTCATTTCTTTCGCAGTGACTCCACCGCAAATCATCAATCCTTTCGGAAAAAAGGGTCATCGCCCGGATTTTTCGTTCTTTAGATCTGGGGGCATCAGTTGATGATGGTTTTGTGGATTTCGAGCAACTTCAACAGTAAAGATTATTTCGTCAGACCACAAGACATCCTCAATGGGAGTCATTTTGAGTGGCAGGGAGATTACCGATATGTACCTAAAAATGTCATGACAAAAAGCAGAGGGAAAACAAATCTAGACTCTAATCCATTAAAGGAGACTTCCAGAATTAAAAGGTTATTCAATTCTATAGAAATCAAAGCCAAAAGAGATCGTTCTCATCTTGATTTTCATGAATTTGCATAATCAAGCTCTATTTAGAATCTAGATTGAAACTAGATTGAAACTAGATTGATGATGGTTTTGTGGATTTTGAGCAACTTCAACAGTAAAAATTGTTTCGTCAGACCACAAGACATCCTCAATGAAAGCCATTTTGAGTGGCTTTGAGATAACCCATATGTACAAAGGATATTTTGTTTACGGAGAATCGATTAAGTTAACAGATTTTCAACAGTAAACTTTTCAATTCTAAAAAAATCATTGAACAATAGAACTTATCAAAAAGGCTTTACGAATAGATTTTAAGATAAAACTCAGCTAATAAAGCTGATAAATAATGTTTAGCCTAAATCGAAAGTTTAAAAGCAGTTCGAGATCCAGTAAAAAGATAAATCACAAAGAATGCCTTCAAAAACTGCCCTCAAATCAATGCTGAGGTTTTTTGGGAGCAAAAATCCTTTTTTTTTCTAATTCATTTGAATCTTTTTTTCTGTTTCCCAAAAAAACCTCACAAGTGTTCGAGTGGCCATTTCGGGAAAAAGAAAACTCTCTAAAAAAAATCCCGAAATTCTTTCAATGATTCAGGAGAAATTCGAGGAAAAAGCATCAAATAAGAGAAAAGTGGATCAGCTGAAGGAATAAAAGCTAAAAGATGAATCTAAAGACGAAAAAAACGAAAAAAAAGCAATTGGAGTTTTCCCATCGGCATACCACTTGGGGATTAACCCAAAATCGATGCTGCACACATATTTTTGCAAACAAAAGCAGGATTTCTTTGGAGGAATGTTGCGGTATTGGATTCGAATAATCACTATTTTTCCACAAAATAGAACAAAAACCAGGTTTTCTTATCGAATTTGCCCAAAAAACGACCACAAAATGACAGAATTGTTTAAATTTTTGGCATGCAACATTTTTGATCCGCATTTTTTATTGAAAAATGGAAAGTTCAGCTGAGTTTTTAAATGTTAATTTGCCTTTTTAAATGATCTAAATGTTTTTAAATAGTAATTTAGTAGATTTACAGCTTGTTTATATGATTGTTAAGGTTTTTGAGAACGATGGGACTTTAATAGCTTGTTTATTATTACTAACAAGATATTTTTTTCGCAAAATCACTATCAAAACCGAAATTTTGTGCAAATTTTGCGTTTTTTCACGCCTGGTTAAGGATAATCTCGACTTTTCATTTCTCACCTGAGCAATCGGGTTGTTGAACAGTGGCTTGAACTCTCCCCCATCGGCTTGCACCTCGTGGAGATCACAGCTACGCCCGTGTCGACGATCCAAAGCACCCGAGGTTGAGCTGAAAATTGAAAATTGAAAAAAATTCCATTAAACTCTAATATTAGGTTGATGCATAAGTGTTTTTGTTCCTTTTCGTCTGCCGTTTCAAGCCAACAAATGCACCAATTAAACTACGGTTGATTTCATTAGAAAAAGCAATTATTTTTCTGCAAAATAACATTAAAACGGGTTTAAAAATATTTAATGCCTGGATTTTCTTGAGAGTATGAAGTCGGGTAGTCAAAAAGGGCTAACTCGATGATGCGGTTTAGACACCTTAGCTAAAGAAAACCTATCTTCGTGTCAATAGATAAAAGATAGAGAAAAAAAACGTTTGATATTTCGCCAAAATTTCAGAGAAATTCATTCAGCCAATTTTTCCGTAGAGTTTTTTATAGATTTTTACGAAAAAGGCGTTTTTCACTCTCGAATTTGCTTGAAAGTGAACCGAAATTCATTTAAAAAGATGCAAATTGAACAAAAAAACACTTTTTTTTATAGAGCAAACTATAGATTAATTGGTGAATTTGTTACTTTTTAACAGAAGTACGAAAAAAACGAAAAGACTTATGCATCAACCTATTATATCAGCATTTTTATATCATTTACAAATCGACCCTTTACTCAAGATGCTAAAACTACCGTATTTATTCCAATTGAAGAGCCTTCTCTATTAGAAGAGCACCTTAAGACGAAGTCTTTAATTATTAATTTGTTAAATGGCTGATCAATTGCTCTTAAAAGCTTTTGACAAGCTGTAAAGAGTGCTAAAATATTCATAAAACTTCTGCTTTCTCATTCGCTAACTCGTAAAATATCGGTTGTCCATAGGGGGAGTGATTGGGACGAACGATCGGTCCATAGTAGGCGTGAAGGACCGAATCGGAGAATTTCTTGTTCGGTCGTTGACGAGCCGCGCTTGGCAAACGGGATGATCGATTCGTCGAGGATGATCGCCATGAGGATAAACGTGGGGATGAGAAATTCAATGTCTCCAGCGGCTCATAGCGGAAATCGTCGACTTCCGGCGATCCCTCGGACATCGCTCCTTCGAAAAATTGAGATCGACCGGGGAAAAGTTGGGAAAAAAGTTAAGTAATCGAGTAAGAATTTGTTCAAAGATGGATATTGAACTGGAAAAAAAGGTGTTGCAAAGTGTAATCAACTAATCTTTTATCTAAAAAGAACCTAAATAAAGAGGCGCGGAAAATTTCTAAAAATCGAAAGTTTAGTGATCAGTTTTTTTAATTCTTTAATAAGTTATTTAATCACCAAATTCTTTTCAAGTTTATAAAGATTGTTCTGAAGCTTAAAAATCTGGAAAAGCCATTTTGACAGCCAAGAAGCCATTTTGACATTTTTAAAATCTTTAAAAAGAAGGCATTCTTTGAAAAAGATAATTAAAAGTGGAGAAAAGACTTTTAAAAATCTTGAAAAAGTTATTTTCGTTAAAAATGAATTAAATTCTATGAGTTTAGCTAAAAAAAAACTAAAAAAATGCAATCTTTTTGGAAATCTTTAAAACTTTTTCTCATTGAAATTTTTTCACAAAACGTAAATCCCCACATTTAGCCATCAGCCAGCCAAATCTTTGTAATGTGAGCCATTTCCATTTCCGCTTTTTTAAACCAAAAAAAATCAATCTTTCTTTCCATTTTTTTCTTCTTCCTTCTTTCCATCTTTTTCTTCAAGAAATAAAAGAAATTTGAGCTCAAGAAAGTAAATATTATTTGTCTAATATTAAATGATTTGTTCGTCGTCTCGTTACAATCAAAAAACGACCACTAATCGAATATTCGTTGAGAGAAATGGAGGGGGGAAATTTGAAGGTAAACGGGAATGAGCCACACAAATCATGGTTGACTAAGGGAATAACAAGTCTTCGGGATATTTGGCTAGACTTCAATTCGACGATAAACCTGCTGTAAAAGTCAGCCTACTATTGGAATCACAGTACCGCCGAGGGTTGTGCAAGGGTAGTTTGCCTGGATCAGGCCTGGACCAGGACCAGGGTCAGTCCAGAAGACCGGTCCAAGAATTGTCTCTGGCGTTGCCTGGCTTGGAAACTTGCCCAACAAAAACCGTCTAAAAGTTTTTGCCAAACATTCGCCAAAAGGCTTATTGTTAGACTTCAAGCCAAGCTTTGAGCAGCAGTGTCAAAAATGGTAGATCTCCGGAGAGAAGCCGACTTGAGCTCAATCGAGAGCTTATAAAATGAGTTGTATAATTGTAAAAGGGAAGTTCTTTGTAGGTAAATATTATTTGTCTAATATTAAATGATTTGTTCGTCGTCTCGTTACAATCCAAAAAACGACCACTAATCGAATATTCGTTGAGAGAAATGGGGGAAAATTTGAAGGTAAACGGAAATGAGCCACTCAAATCATGGTTGACTAGGGGGATAACAAGTCTTCGGGATATTTGGCTAAACATTTCAATTCAAGGATAAACTTGCTGTAAAAGTCAGCCTACTATTGGAATCACAGTATAGCTGAGGGTTGTGCAAGGGTAATTTGCCTGGATCAGGCCTGGACCAGGGTCAGTCCAGAAGATCGGTCCAAGAATTGTCTCTGGTGTTGCCTGGCTTGGAAGCTTGCCCAACAAAAACCATTAACAAAAACCGTCTAAAAGTTTTTGCCAAACATTCGCCAAAAGGCTTATTGTTAGACTTCTAGCCGAGCTTTGAGCAGCAGTGTCAAAAATGGTAGTTCTCCGGAGAGAAGCCGACTTGAGCTCAATCGAGAGCTTATAAAATAAGTTGTATAATTGCAAAAAGGGAAGTTCTTTGTAGGTAAATGATGCCAAGATGAAGGGCTTTATTTTTCTGTCTAACACTTGGCACTTTGGTCAGGCGTTTGTCAGCAACTTTTCTAAAAAAGGTGTCGCCATAATTCGCGGTCAACCTGTACTTCTCCTAGGGGCCTAGATGAAACATTTCTTGGCAGAATTTATCGAAAAGTTAATACACTTGAGAGCAAGTAGATGATCAACTTTGGTTAATGCGCTAAATGGAAAGTTATGAAGTTGCGAAAGCTTCAATTGCCTTGGCCTTAAAAATAACCAACGTTTTCACAGAAAAATCTCTAAAAAGTGGAACATTTCCGGCTTTTAGCTCTTAAAGACAAATGAAACTGATTGCAAAAAATGTCCTCTGGCTTCTTTGACTCAACTTTTCCTCATTTGTAGTGATGTGGGAAAAATTGGAGGGATTGTTTTGGATTGGAGGGTATTTCAAAATAAAACAAAATCTATGGTGCAAAAGTTACTTTTCGAAGAAAAACCCAAAAACTTTTCATGAAATTGTTGAAGAAAATTGTGCTGAAAATTTGAGGCCAAAGAGCCTAAATAGAAAAATTTAATAATAGATCTATTATTAAATTTTTCTATTTAGACTAGAAATGAGAGAATCGATTACATTTGGAGCTCTGATTTTTTGTTTTGAAAATTTTCCATTTTACTGTTTTGCTAAATGCGGAAACTCGCAAGAAAAAGGCACTTCGGAAGCAATTTCCTTTTTAAATTGTAACTGTTTTCGAATCATAAGCTTGAAAAAGACAAAATGGGTTCAAATTTGTGCTTGAGATAGAGAAAATGCCGCATAGACTTTTCGGGGGACACAAAATTAATTAAGCGAGGCAAAAAAAGAGTAGGAGAATGGGGAAAATGAGAGAATCGATTACATTTGGAGCCCTGATTTTTGGTTTGATTTTGGCTTTTGAAAAGGGAAAGGGGAAAAAAGATGATTTCATTTGGGTTAAATAAGGACTTTCTTTAACTTGTCTTGACCTTAATTTTTTAGTCTTAAAGTACACTGGTGGTCATATGTATTAGTACCCTCTTGCAAAAGATTTTCTCTCAACGATTGGGAGAAACCATGGATGTCGACCAGATTTTGCAGCTCTGTGTAGAGAACCGATAATCTTTGATTGTTTAAAAAGTCGTTTCACAGTGCTCTCGCTGCATCCAAATTGTTCAGCCAAATCCAAAAAATTTTCTCTCAACGATTGCCCCCCCCCCCTTAAAAGGCAGCCAAATTTAAAGTGCTAAAAAGCATTTTTTTGCTAACAAGTTCTAGTCGCTAAAACCACAAAAAAATTGATTTGAAATGTTTATTATCTTTTTAAAAAAATAGCAAGGACGGAAAAGACACCTCAAAAATGGTGGACAAAAGTATTGACACCTTAGCTTTTCCTTTATTTTTTTCTTGTTTACATTCATGTTTTGATGACCTTTTTAAAATATTTAATTTTAGATGCCGTATCTACCGACTCCAATCAAAGAAAAGATCGTTAAAGGTCGAAGAAATGGAATGAAAACAGCAGATTTGGCTGAGCAATTTGGATGCAGCGAGAGCACTGTGAAACGACTTTTTAAACAATCAAAGATTATCGGTTCTCTACACAGAGCTGCAAAATCTGGTCGACATCCATGGTTTCTCTCAATCGTTGAGAGAAAATTTTTTGCAAAAGGGTACTAATACATATGACCACGAGTGTATGTAGTGGTCAATTTTAAAGATGAAAAATCTTTCAAAATTGCTTCTTTCAAAGCGAACTTTCATTAGAAATTACAAAACTAATAAAAAAAACCCTCACCAAAGTGACAAAATTCTTCAGAAAAAAGGATTTTGTTTCAGTTATTGTTAGCATAAACATTTTTGGTATAGGTTTTGTTTTTTTTTTAACAGAAAAAGAAAACAAATAGGCCAAAAATGCATCTTGGTTTTTGCTTAAAAAAATAAGAAGGACTTTTGAAAGAGAAAACTCAGAGAAATTGAGGCAAAAATACGTATATTCCTGAAAGATTGAACTACTCATCAGTTAGTAATAACAAGAACTCAAGAATAAAAGCGTTTTTATCAATTTTTTTCCGGTTTATTGAATCTAAGAATCCATTCACGGCTGAATCGCTGTTTTTTTTCACCTGTTCATTCGTTTCTTGAAATAAGAAAAATTAATCAACGAGCCGTAGTTAGTAGTCAAAAATGAATAGTATATGGGTTTTATGTTTGTAAAACATGGTGATATTGGAACCATATTAGAACCGTATCCGAACCATATTGGAAACAGATTGGAACCATATTTGAACCAAATTGGCACAATATTTGAACCAAATTGGCACAATATTGGAACCTAATTGGAACCGTATCCGAACCATATTGGAACCATATTGGAACCTAATTGGAACCGTATCCGAACCATATTGGAACCATGTTGGAACCATATTGGAACCGTATTGGAACTGTATCCGAACCATATTGGAACCATATTGAAACCATATTGAAACCGTATTGGAACTGTATCGGAACCATATTGGAACCATATTGAAACCATATTGAAACCATATTGGAACTGTATCCGAACCATATTGGAACCATATTGAAACCATATTGGAACCGTATCCGAACCATATTGGAACCATATTAGAACCATATTAGAACCGTATTGGAGCCATATTGGAACCAATCTAGGAATTTCGAAAAGCTAAAAGTAAATCAAATCAAGAAAAGCTAAGTCAAAAATTTGACCATTTGGAGAATTTGTGGAAGCTTTCACAAATCCAATTCAGAGCTAGAAGATTAACAAAACAACGAATGCCATTTCTTTGTTTTGTTAAACGTTTCTTAAACAACAACCATTTCTTAGCCATTCATCAAAAACCTTCATTATCCAGAGAAAAGCATACAAATTGAGAATCGATCTCTTCTTCTTGAAGGAAACAAAAAAAAATTTCTACCCCACATTTTTTCCGTTGTTTTTTTGTTTCCTTCATTCTCTCAAAAATTTTAGTCTTCTTCTTCTGTTGATGGGGCAATTTCTGCGTCAAATTGCGAACACTATGGGGATTTCGGGAAAAGCTCAAAAAAGTTGCTTTGTTTTGGTTGCTTTGGGTGTTTTTCTAAGACTGAATTGCTCTCTTGACTCGTTCGCTAAGTGGATTCTCGCATTTCAGTATTTTCAACCCATTGATTCAAAACAAATCTTATTTTAAGAAAAGCCAAAAAGCTATCCCATAGTTAGATTCCTTTTAAAATGCCATTTACCAGTTAAAAACTAAACTAAAACAAAAACTCACAATTGTCTTGGGGTTCCCATTGTGACCGTGTGTCCTTTGACAAGCATTCGACCATTCCCGCCCATCGTCAGCCCAGCTCCACCACTAAAATTATTAAAAAATATGAAATCACCATGAAAATATGAAATTCTTTTAAACAAAGTCTATTTTGCATTACTTTAATTTCAAGTTTATGTTACATTTTCAAGAACTCTTCAGAGAATTTCAATGTTTCAAGAAAACCTGGAGTAATTTTGGAATAACACTAATACCGTAAAAACTCTATAGCTCAACAGCTCTCTATAGAAGCGTCGTGTAGTCTAGGTCTACTCTCAAACAAACGCTTATTTCTTGACACCAGTACGTTTGTTTCTGCGCACTTGGAGATTAAAGTAGAGAGGGTAGGTGACTTTTTTTGAGATATAGCAAATATTTTAAACTTTAACTAGTGCTTAGAAAAAAAATTGATTGAAAATCGCCTCTTTTACGCCAAAAGTTTGTGCCAAGTTTTTGTTGCTAGCTGCAAATCCCATTAAGCATCGCAAAAAGAAGACCTCCTCGCGAAAATCGAGGTCGATCCATGAAACGAATGACAATGTTTGAGTGGTTGATGGAGTGCCGGATTGAAAGTGATCGGCGCGTCCATTCGATGGATTGATGGGCGATCCGGTTCACGACTCATTTCAACGATTCGAATCTCGCGTCCATGGCCATTTTCGGGGAATTTCTTCGTCGACGAGCGGCATTTGAGGGAATTTCGTGGTGTTTCAGAGCCAGCATTATTCAAAAGGGCTTGCAGTCGATCCATTTCTGCGAATTCCTGGATTATAGGAATTGTGCATTCACCGTAGAAATCAAATCATCGTAGAAATCAAAGAATCAAGGAAAATCAAGCTTAAAAATACAAGGATTACCATGGATTAGCTAGTGAAATTTCAAAAGTTTTGGAAACTTTTAGAAAGCCAAAATTTAATTGCAAAAGAAACCACTGAATTTGAAAGTTCTTCAAGAAATCTCAAGGCTTTTCGCTTTTTTGGTGCCTCGAGGCCAAAGAGGATGATAAAATTTGATTGCGCTTCTCGATAAAATCTCTTCACCACATCAAACTGCGAGTTCAGACTCCCGTGATTCGCAAGAAAAAGCAGAAAAAACATAAGCATAGAATATATACTGAAAATTTCTGGATCTTTTGGAAGAGTTCACTTGAGAGTATGGTAATAATAAGTGGCTATTTCAAAGCACTTTTTTGGGGTCGGTAAAGCAAGACCAAGGCAGGTTTTGGTCTTGCTTTACTGCAAAAGCTCATGAAAGTCTATGGGGTCAGCTGGCTTGTTCTGGCTTACAGATCCCAGTATCGGGTTATTCAAATACCTAGCTAAAACTTAATAAATAACTAAAGTTGAAGATAAATAACCAAAAAAAAAGGCGACTTGGTTATTTTGACGTCACAACGCAAAGCAATGGCCTCAACTACATGGGGAATTTCGACAAATTGACAAGAAAATAAGGGAGAATAGTCAAGAAGACGGTAATTTTGGATAAAATTGGTGGTTTTGCCCTTTTTCCATCAACAAAAAACATTCTTCACCCCATCCAATTAGAGGGTTCTGAAAAAAGAGAAGTGGAAAATCGACTGCTGAAAATAAATGGACTCCCGTTTTCCGCTTTTAAGTAAAAAAGAGAACAAGTTGAGATTTAGCTTTCAGATATCTCGTTGCACTGGATGCGAAATTGTTGAGATTTTTGAGGATTTCTTATCTTAGAAGCAGTTGAAAACGTTTTCGGTTAACTTTAGCAAGTTTTGGAAAGTTCATTAGTCTGGGTAAGTAAGCTCAGTGTGCTATTGGACCTGTTTCACGCGAAAAAATAGCATCCGATAAGCAAGCACAAACTAATCTTTAGAAAACTGTTCACTCTCTTCTAAATTGCTTTGAAAGAGATAAAACCAAACAATGCACAGATTCAATCATTTAGATTAAAAGAATCGCAGAGAAGGCTCAGTTAGAAGTGTTTGATTGTTTGAAGCTACCGGATAGCTCAGCGATTGAGCATTTGCCCGATAAGCAAAAAGGTCTAGGGTTCAATCCCCTCTCCGGAAATCTTTCTTTGCTATTCCTTATTTTATTTCAAATAAAAATGCTCACCTCGTTTTGTCGGGCAGAATCGATAACGAACTCGAGAGGGCCGAACCTAGAAATTTCCTTGTTAGAATTACTTTTAGACTTTTTTAAATGACTCTAGGAAGCGATTTTGACAAACTGTAGGAAGCGATTTTGACAAATTGTATAAACTGATTTATTTTGGATTCATATTTGTTTAGATTTGATTAAGTTTTCGACTTTAAAACTATTTTATGTTCTTTAACCTCCAAGCTGCTCAGAGATGTGTCGGGGCAAATGGAGAAGATGTGATCGGGGAGTGATCGTTGAAATCGTTGTGGAGATCGCCCCACTTTCTCCCAACAATGGTTGAATTATGGGTATTCGCTCCGATTCCACGGAATTATTTTTGCGCAACTCGAGTGCTCTTTGCATTGTGCTCTAGGAAGAATCGGATATTCAACAAAGAGAGAACAAGATCGATCCGAAATTAAAGAAAATTTGCAAATTAACAAGTGATCGGAGAAGAATTCCAGTATTGTATCAGAATTGTCTTCAAGTTTTTTTGTTTAAAGAGGATAAAAAGTGAAAAAATCGACAACAAGTTCAAAGGTTTTAAAGGTTTTAAAGAATTTTTTTTTTGCAAAATGACTTGTTTCCTTGCAAAATGACCTCTAAACAACTTATCAAATCAAAAATTAAAATAAAATCTTTGGAAAATCGAGCAAAAATCCTATTATATGCACCCAGAAAATTTTTCTACTCCAAAACGAGAACCAAACTTTTTGCGATCGCTTGAAAACCCTAGGAACCTCATGTCCGGTGAGAGTTTTGCCTGCTTTTTTACCGTTTTCCTTATTTCCTGTTTTCTCATGATCACAGAAAGAAAAATATGTAAAATGGATCATAATAAAGAAAAAAATTCAGAAATTTTTAAATTCTGGATGACTCGAGTTTACGAAACGCTTTTTTTAAGACAAAAGAATCAATTAACATAAAATTTTCGGCCTCTCTTTGGCACCCATGGGGAATCAGTAAAGAGTAAAAGTAACGGAAACGAAAATTCCGATCGACTTTTCGCTAATGACTGTGAAAATGTGGGTAATTCATTCAAAGTGTTTTTTCGGAAATGTGGAGAAAAGAAATGAAAATATTTTGAATCAAAAATCGGTCCGATTTGGCAAAAGTGCAACTTTAGCAGGCTTCTTAGAAGGGGATTTCATTATGAAATCAAAAAAATATTCAACAAACAAGCAAGAATTTAAAAAAATGGATAAGTTAGCTATCGATTATGACTCATTGCATTGCCATTGCACTGATTTTTTTATTGCATTCTCCTTTTTCTAACGTGTGTTTGAGTTTTGAAGCGCTCAGAGAACACTCGCTGCAGCTAAAGCTAAAGAATTACTCCATGGAAACAACAAGTTTTTTAAACTAGAAAGGGGTGCCTTTACATTTTACACTTTAAAGTACACTCGGTGTACGCTTAAAAGACTAGGTTAGGGAAAGTTTGATAAGCAAAAGCTCTTTCGAAACGCACCGGAAATCCCCGTCTAGCGCAGTCTAAAGTAACTGTGAGATGGAAACCAAAAAATTGAGAAGCTCAAGCAAAAAAAGAGCATGAAGCCGCAAAAACATTGTATCCATTTCCCTTTGCAAGTGATTAATCAAAGAAAGAAAGCAATTTTATTGAATTGGGTCCAACAAAGAGCGTGGTGGATGGGGACAGGCAGAGATGGGATGGGTTTTCATCGGCTTTTTATTGAATCTTGGGCTGGTCCATTCTCAATAAAGCGCCTCCTTAGGGTTTTTTGGTTCCTTTAAAAAAAGAAAAGAGACAAGAGAACGGTTGCCTTTCTTTCTCAGCCTTTCCCTCTTTCAATTCTTTCATTGAGGGGGAATCCCCTAAATCAAATTACCACTTTTCTGGCTTTCCCCTTGGCTTCTTCACTGTCCCCATTTTTCAACTCGAAAACTTAAGAAAGGAGAAATGAACACTTCTCTTCATTGAACTTGAAAAGCTGAAAAAGTTCCAGAAGTTTGGGAACAAAGAAAATTATCCAGTGAAGAGTCTAGCTTTGGTTTTTGGCAAGAATGATGATTTTTGGCAAGACGATTACACGTTTCAAATGTTACGTTTACACGTTTACTTCCAAGTTTATTAAGAGCTTCTTAAATTGGTTTTGATTTGAGGATTTAGCTTTGAAAAAGTTGAGTACAGCTTTGAGACCAATTTTTGCTGATCGCCAATCTTTCGAGTGATTTTTTTCCTATTTGGATGCGTTTTTTTCAAATACTTTTTCCTATGACACTTGTATTAATCCTCTAATTATTTAGTTATAATTGTAGATTTCAAAAAACCCACCAAGTAATCGACTCTGGGGCATCTGATAGGGTAGCAAGCTCTCCATTGTGATGTCGCCTGGTTGAAGAGAGTTGCGCTTTTCCTGAAGCAATGATAACGTTTAGCTTGAAAGAAAAGACTATAGAAATCTTGTTGTTAATAAAAACCAATCTTTTAAAGTACAGAATAGCTTTAAAATTTGAAACTGATCAACCAGTTACCTCTTTGAGAATCCATTGTTGCTCTTGTCGGGGGCTCAGCGAAATCGCCGACGGCCTCCGATCGTACATGGCTCAAAAACACAATTTGAAAACTGAAAATAGTTGAAAATAAACCCGAAAATAGAACAGGAACAACTGATCATCGCAAAGAAAACATTTTCGTTGAAAGCTGGTTTTTTGACAGACATGTTTATCTGGTTTTGTGAGGATCATTTTGGCTGACTTGAGGCTTACGTATGGGATCTTTGAAAAGGAAAACAAGTAAATCAACGAAAAGAGCGGAAAAATGGAGTTTTGACAAGGTAAAGATAACAATTTAATGAAGTTTGTTTAAATGATTCGAGAAACGGGCTAAGAACGCGTTTATGATTGTTCTCGAAAGAGGGAAAATGAACAAGCTGAGAAAGAATGGGGAACTGAAAAGTGTGATTGAGTGATTGACGAGGCTAAAGAACAAGCAAAGGCTATAGAAAAGTTGTTTGTTATTTGGAAAGCTAACCATTTAACCTTACGATTTTGTGCGTTTTAGTTGAAAGAGACTTGAAAGCTAAGTTGAAAGCTAAGTTGAATGCTAAGTTGAAAGCTAAGTTGAAAGCTAAGTTGAAAGCTAAGTTGAAAGCTAAGAAGACAATGGAGTAAAGCCGAGAGAAACGAAACAAAACCATTTTAGAAATTTAAACAGGAAAGATGGGGAGGGGGAAATATAAAAAGAAGGAAACCAACGAGGGGAGAGGAAGTACTTTAAAAACGCGCTACAAGAAAATGATAGATTTTACGAAAGGGTTAGAAAACTTAGCGAAGCTCAGCATAAAAGCCGGACAAAAGGAGCTTGACATCATTTTGGTTATGCCAGTCTAGCCAAAACATTTAAGTGTGATTCCTAATGTTATTAAGTGATATAAAACGCTATTTTTGCATTGAAGAAATTTTGAAAACCTTTTCTTAACAATTTTTAATAGAGAAAAGTGGCCAAATGACAGATTCGCCGGAGAGATGTCAACTAGCGCTCATTCAAGCGCTTATTAAATGAGTTGTATAAGTTCAATCGGCATGTTTTTGGTTGATAAATGTTGCCGAGAATTAGGGCTACAATTCTCTGTATAACACTTGACACTTTCGAAACAAATTAGACATTTCCCAGCTACTTTCCCAAAAAGTTGTCGCTGTAATTTGAAAATGTAGAAAAGCAGTCAAAAAAGTTCCAAAATCAGGAAATTTTTCAAGCAAATGAATCAAAAAACAAAATCAAATCAAAAAATAAAATTATGGATAAATCTTGATTTTATGAATTTCCAAAGCGTGAGAACTTTTGAGAACAAGATTTTCCCCACCAATTGGTGTGTGTACCAAAGCAAAGGGGGAAGCCGGGGTCAATTTGTACAACAAGGCATTGAGTCAAGAGGGGAAGATCGATCAGCTCAGAGGTGAACAGAGTGAACACACCAATTGAGTCATGTCGAGTTCTCTTTTCTTTTCGAACATAAAGCTTTAAGTTCTAGGCAAGTTGAGAGAAAAGAGAACGAGCATTAGTCCATTTGTTTCCCCGGAATCTTCTTTGCTGATCTTAATCGAGAAAATTGAATTCTTCTCCTAATACTTGAGCAAAATATCATTCTTCGAAAATAGTTTCCAAGAAACTTTAGAACAACTTTGATTTAAATTGTGATAAGTGACTAGGCTACCTTGACTCAAAGCTTGAATTTTTGACTAAAAGCTGAGCAACTCGAACAATAAGACAATTGCAATGTTAAAATTTTTAAAGCAATTGTAATAGCAATTGTAATAGCAATTGATATTAAAGTTTTTTCGTTCAAAAATTCTGGAATATCAATCAAAGTCTTATTTTTTTTGAGCTCTTCAAAATTTATAATCAACACCTGTTGTTTATTTACAATGTAGTCAAAGTAACAAACTCCGCAGAGAGATTTTTTCGACCTTTCTGTAGTCGGTAACTTCTTAATCAGTACTTCATTTTAAAATCTGATTAAAAACGTAACTTTTTCCTTTCAATTTCCCCCAAATCCCATCTGTGTCTCTTGTGATTTTACGACGATTTTATGTGCACTAAGGAAGGCCAAGAAAGCGAAAAAAACAAAAAAATCTTCTAAAGAAACACTCAAATGTCATTGACGCAAAAGATTAAAATCAAAAGTTTTTGAAATTTTTTGGAGAATTTACCCTAAAGTCGCGAGTATAAGTTTTGTTTGGTTTTCGCATGCAAATTGACGGCTGTCTCCGGTGCGGTGTGTCGAGGGTTCGAACCCCGCTGCAGCATAACTTTTTTGCTTTTTAAGAACAATAATAGAAGTCAATTGATTGAGGGTTATAGCAATTTTATGCTGTTATTTGTTGCTCCGGGCGTGGCTCGGCGCGTCCGCCCTGATCCTCTCCGGTGCTCAGTCTTATGGATCCCTCCCTGGCCTCTTCATCCGGCCAAAGTCCACGTCGACGGTCGAAAGAGATGCTTTCCAGCGTCTTCTTCAACACTATCGTCTGGATATATCCATGCACATAACAAATAGGCACAGGGTGACAGCCTACAGGGTGATAGGCTGTCACCCTGTAGTATCCCGCGCTCCAAGAACAATAATAAAAGTTTATATAACAATAAAAATGTATAAAAACCCAACAAAAAGAAATTCAAAGCAATTAAAGCGAATGTAAATTAAGGCAGAACTTATACTCGAGACTTTAGGGTAGTTCTGAATACTTGACAACCCTCAGAACTCATCACCGAAAAGTAAATAAAGGAAAGCTTTTGCAAATTGCAACGTTTTCTCCAATAAAAACTTTGAAGATCCGATTTCTTTCCTGAATACTTAATAAGGAGATTTATTGTGGTTTTGCCGATGAAAATGGTTTTGCTTTTT